TTTTTTTATTGATATATTTTTATGCGCTTTTTCAGGAATAAAGATTCCTCTTCTCTTTCAGGATAAGGGAGATTCTTCTGATGATAATGTTAGGAAAAACACAATTTATTACAACACATTTTTGTATTTAACACATCTTAAAACACATTTTAAAATAAATATGACAAATTAAAAGCGTATATTAATAAATATTAAATGTTCTAAGCATAAGCTTAATAAATAGATATCACATTTGGTAGATAACAGATTGACTATTTAAATAATACTTTATACTTGTAATTATAAAAGATCACATATGTAAAAATGTTTTGTATATAAAATATTAAACAAAACGCATAACGTCGGAATATTATTTTTACTCCTGGACAAAATTATCGCACCATTGCTATTTTGTTGAATGATAAATAAAAAGAAATAAAAGTAATTCATACAACATCAAACCTTAACCCTCTATTGCACACACAATTTTAGACAGCAGCAAAAAAATTTAAGGTGAATATGGGAAAGTAAAAGTAATTTGACTAGTTTTAGGTAATTATTTATTTTATAAAGTTTTATTTCTTTGAAAAAAAAAGTGTATATTCAGATATACCATTGTGCATATATTATTAAAAAAAATTGCAATTCTATACCTTAGTCAGTACAGATTTTTTCATAGGACGATCTTCGATCTAATATAAAAGAAAAGCAGGCACAATTATCTACAAATAATCTACTAATAATAAAAAATATTAAAACGATGATAAAAATCTAGGAAACAGTTTCTGTCTGGAACAAAACATACGAAACGGATACATTTAATGCATTTTACTTTTGTTATTTTTGGCATTTTTTATTCTTACATCTTCTTGTCTTTTTTTCATAGTGGGGCCAATGGTCCATTCTATCAGCAATACAGTCTGCGTTTTGCGAGACACAAGTTTTTAATTTTTTTGTCCAATGATGGTGTACTGCCGGATGGGCGACCTCTTTTTGCTAACTTACTAGCGCAACATAAACTCTGAGCAACTTCTGCCTTGATGTCATATAAAGACAGCTGTTGTTTTTTAGGAATTCCCACGGTCATCGCTAGCTCGCCTATACATAAGCCAACCATTATGACGCTCATGTCCATTAGATGAAAAATATTCTAAGATTAATATTTTCTGGACCGAATCTTTGTTCGGTAGAGTGCCAAGAGATAAATCTTCAAATCCACTCCCCCCATAAATTTATTATATAAAATAATAATATACTGAGCATTTATTGTTATACTTTCGTTTTTTTACGGTCTAACCTCTGGACAGTCGTTTCAGGAGAAGCATTGGCAAAATGTACTTAGCAATGTCCACTGCCTTATTGTCATACCATTTGATTACTCTGAGTGTTGTGCTGTTATGACAGCAACTTTTCCACACAACTCCCTCGACTTGCTTCATTAGCACTTTATGTGCTGCAGCTTGTTTTCGGAACCCTGTTTGTAACGAACTGTACCCCAAACTCTGGATGCCATATTCAGATAACTTTTAGTTTGCAACTCAGGACTACAAAACCAATTGTCATAAAATAGCAAAAAGTTTTTGGTTTTTTGGTATGCGTTCAGCTAAGCGAATAACACTGGCTGCTGGCACTTATATCTGGTAAATCATCTGGTTGCTTCTGAGCTCCACAATAAAACCTCAAAAACATATACTATGCCGCTCGCCACCTGCAAGACAAAATAATTTGTAACCCCATTTCTTTGGCTTTTGGGATTATATTGCTTTAGTCTCGCTACGTCCTTTATAGGGAATAATTTGCTCGTCGACAGATAAATGTTGCTCTAATTGGTATGGACTTCATATTGTGCCTTATAATTTTTAATCACGTTTCATATTTTGAACAAACGATCTGGCGGATGTGATGGTTAGTGATGATTATCAGCAAAATGTAAATTTTTTTTATTTACATCAAATCTTCGTAACGGCATGACATCAGCGACTTGAGAAATTCTACAATGCATTACTCCAATACCTATCCAATAGAGGGTTAACTCTGGGTTCGCGTAGTCAGGGTAGCGTAAGTCTAGGTATTACTGTATTGATTTATATGTCATTAATGCTAGGTCAAATGACCCATTCAAAATGTCCCATGGGCTTGAAATTTAACGTCACCATATAACAAGTACTGGCCGAACTGTTTGCTTAAGGTATGCTTTACTTAAGCGATTTTCAAATCTTGCCGATTTAAAACTTAACATAATTAAAGATTTTGATATAAGAATGAAATTTTATGAATTAGCAAATAAGTTTGATCTGTCGAATAGACGTCCAGAACAATTATTATTATAAAAAGCAAAGGAATAAATCTTGAAGTTGTAAGAAGTCCACAATCCTTAAATTCAACCATTGTTCCTAAAGGTTAGGCTATTATTTCCGAGGTGGAAACAATGTTAAAATTATGGTGTAATAATCAGCTAAATGTGAAAAATTGTACTATTGATTAGACACAGCGTGTTTCCAAGTACTACAGCTGGATTTTTGAAGATATTTGAGACACGGAACCTGGAGAGATCGCTAAAGATGAAAAGTATAAAGCTAGTAATGGTTGGTTCAGCCTATTCAAAAGTCGCTGTAATTGGCATAGTTGTGCAGAGAAATGAAAATTTATGATAAATGAATGAATGGCAACACCAACCAAATTATTATTCAATACAGATGAGCTAGATCTGGCTTGCCTGTGACTATGGTGGAATGTAAAATCATAATCATAATGCTTGGGTGAATAGATTTCCTTTTTGAGGATTGGTTTAGGTCATCATCTGATACCTGAAAGTCGAAATCGTTTAATTGTCAATCTAAACTCACTTCCCGTTTAAAGTGAATGCCTAATCAATCGTACACACGCACCTGGTCATCCCTCCTGCAACCCTTTTAACTAGTTTTTTATTTGACCGGTCAGATGAGCTTGAATTTTTACGTGCTAATACAACCAGCTTACTTTAACCGATGGATCAAGAAGTCATTAAAATCTTCAAAGCTTTTTACACCAGAATATCATTTGCACACCTGTATTAGAAGTCATTCAAATAAAAAAAAAACTTCCACCTAAATCTCTGTTTAAAGACTTTTGGGAAACAATTCGACGTTTTAGATGCAGAGGAAATAATTGGAGAATCTTGGAATGAGCATTTTCACAAAAAAACATTAAATGGCGTCAGAAAAAACTGTCTTTTTTTTCATCAATGACACTAGGGTGGAATTGACGCCAGAGCCTGTTGAAATTGTGGCTATTGCTGACTAAAGGAGTTGTTAAATATCGCCATACAAATAAATGTAGTTGTGATAGTCATGGACTATTCCAGAACTGTTGGATTCTCACAATCAGTAGCTGACAATTTGATTACACTCATAGAAAATGCAGGAGGCTTGGATCGTTTTGGTCCTGAGGCGGGGGTGTTCAAACTGTGGATCAATTGACGGTTGGAAAACTTCACTGAATGACTTTCTTTGACATGAAATTTTAGAATATATTAGTCTATCAACGAACGTAGAACCGCATTTCCTTCTACAAAAACGAAAGATTATAAATTATTAGCACCCGCCTTACTTAAAAAAACGAACAATAATTTTTTTTTTTGTTTTTTGTTATTTTTTTTTTTTTTGAGAAATGAAAAAAATTTAAATTGTCAAACTCTATTTTGTTAGATGTTATGAAGCCTTACTATAAACAAAATAACTTCGATACAATATGTAATAACAACTTTATAAACTATGCCGGGAAATTATTATCGGTACACAAAGCATGGGGGGTGATTAAAATTAAGTGTTGCGCCTGAGATTTTCTCACCCCTGTCTCATCCAAAATGTACGAGCGTTGCAAAATAATTTAAACTTTAATACCAATGCTAACAAAAAAATGAATGCCGTACGTGAGTCAAATTACCGAAAATGTAATGAAAAAGGTTTTCCAAACACAAAAAATATGTCCCTCTGATCCTGGTACCAATATTTTTTGCACGGCATTAACGTCGTAGGTCATTATTTTAGTATTAACCTACCTAATTTAAGAATTGCTTTACAAAATTGTATATGGCCAACAAAAAAAGAAAAAAAGGGCACTGGGGAGAGTGCCTCGACAGATCGGCGAAAATAAAATATAAATATATATCTATTATATAATATTATATCTATATATATATATTATATATATATATATATGTATATATATATATATATATATATATAATATATATATACATTATATATATCTCGGCGGTATAAGCGGTGACGGTCCGCGAATCTCAATGCTTTTTTCCCATCCAAAAGTGCATAACATCGCTACAGAAGTTTTCACTTCAAAAACTTACCCACTTGGGAGTGTAAATTTATCTTACCTGTGACTCACAAGTATCGATAAGAATTGACGGCATAGTTTCTAAAGTTATTACATATTGTAGTATTATTTTATATGTGATTCATTCTGGGTCAAATGACCCATTAAAAATCTCCCATGGGCTGTAGACTAAACCTTTATAATCGGATGGTGCGATAATTTTGTTCAGAAATTAATATACATAGTATAATATAGCTTTCCTGGTTACATGATTTACTACTTCACAAATAACAAAGATAACTCACAGAATTAAACAGTTTTGCTAGTGACAAAGAGACATGACAGATCAACCAAAATAGAGATGATGATACATGGTGATTCAACAATTCTCATATTATTTACGTTAATACTAACAATAGTGTAAATACTGTGTCATCATTTAAGAACCAAAATTTATCAAGTATCTTCTGATAGGAAACAAAACGACATATACCTGAGAGAAATCGCAGCCACTTGACATTAACTGCTATGCCAATTGACACACTTTTCCATATACGGATTGCTATATTTCTCAAATTCTCCTGGACCATTCATGCAACAGTGTGTACTTGATTATTGATATCAACTCTTTCTTTCTTCTATCGTTCAGGTCGAGTGTCGCTTTAATGAATAAGTAGAGTAAATAGATTCATTAGTTAATCAGAAAATTACGAATTTCCAGAACTTCTTTTTTGATCTGTATCTGATGAATACAAGGTAAATGTTTCCAATAAATCGCTCTCACCAGTAGCATATGTACATATTTGGAATGCTTCGTTACCAACTTCTTCATTGCTATTGGTGAATATGACAAAAGATTCATTTAGTGGTACATTGTCGTTTGGATAAGTGGCACCGGCTGTAAATTCGACTAAAGAGTTATCATTTCTATTCAATAAAGAACTTTCATTTGTGTGCAATACAGAATTCTCATTAATGGACGATAATGGACTATCGCTAATTTGAGATAAAGTTCTGTTAGTGGTTCGCACTGCGTTATCTTTGTCTTTCGTTATTTCAGTCTTTTCATGAGTTAACTGATGTGCCTTAAAAGAATGCGCCCATGTGAAGCTCTTGTTGCAAACTGAACATGTATAAGCTTTAACACCCGAATGAGTTTTTGCATGCACTTTTAAACTATTACTTCTATTAAATGATTTATTACACACCGTGCATTTGTATGGTTTTAGAGATGTGTGAACGATTGCATGGCGTTTCAGTCTTGTTGATGAGGGGAAAGCCTTGCTGCACTCCCTGAAATTGATAATAAAAAAATTATTTTACTAACTGCTCTTACAGCAGAACAGAAAAATAGTCTACAACTTTGTAGCATAATATCATTAGTAAACGATAGCATAAAAAGTACATGTAAGATTATTCTAAAAATATTAAAATTTACAGATTTCAATGAAATATTATTATTTTTGGGTGTAAAGCTAGTTCACGTCCGTAGTAGAATACTGCACGTGCACCCTGGGTAATGCTAAATAAACTAGCACAATAGGTCGCCAGACAATCTAGAATCTCTAGATATGCTAGCAAGAACACATCACGAATATAAGATATGCCTCTAACCAACAATTTAAATGGACCTTCTCAGGACCAAGCGACAAAAGGACTTGGACCAAGCATGCGAATCTGCCATTTAAATATAGAAGGTATTAGTAGAAGAAACCCATGTAAAAAACAAAGAACCAATTCTCGCTAGATTGACTAGAAGAATTCATGGCTATGATTTATTGGGTGCAACTTACAATCCAGCTTATGGAGTAAGAACCTATGTTCGAAACAAAATAGAAAATGCACACATATGTTCCACATCAGATATAAGTAACGTTTATACGGTGACTATAAAAATTGGCGAAATTACTGTCAGCAATATTTATAAACCCCCGGCAGTCCTGTTATTGGACTGCCGGGGTTTATAAATATTGCTGACAGTAATGACATGCCTCCGCATGTTATTCACGCCCATCCACACCCCTCAGTTTATGTTGGAGACTTCAACATTCATCATGAACTCTGGAAGTATAGGCACAGTGATCGAAAGCACCTAGAGATCGTGACCACACCACCAAAGTAAAACAAGAACTTAAACTACCGGAATACTCTGACGAATTTACTGCAAAAGAAATAATTTCAGCAATATCAGAAATTAAGTCTGAAAAGACACCCGGCTCCGATAAAATCCATCCAGAATTTTTACTCCACTGTGGCAAATATGCTAGGAAGTGCCTGGCTGATTTCTATAGAGATATGTTAAAATCAGGAGAAATCTCCCAATCACTAAAAAAGGCCTCCATTATAGCCATATTAAATCCAGGAAAGGCAAGATCAGCCTCAAAACTACCGACCGATTGCACTGCTGAGCTTGTTCTATAAACTGTTGGAACGCTTAATCTACAACAGAATAAGTAGAAACATATTTGAATTGATACCTATTGAGAAAGCACGGTTCAGACCTAACTGCAGCTGTACAGATCAGATCCTATCCCTAACAACACATATTGAAGCAGGTTTTCAAAGAAACCAAAAAAAATCGGTTGCTTTCATTGACCTATCAGCTGCATACGATAATGTCTGGAGACAAGACTAATCTGCAAACTAATCCATGCCAAGTAAGTAAAATCATTGATAGCATGCTCATCATAGATATTTTTAAGTCACAATGGGCAACTTTAAAAGTGTCCAAATGAAGCTCAGCAATGGACTGCCACAGGGATCTGTTTTGATACAATTACTGTTTAATTTATACATTGCGGACCTACCTGGGACAACTTCGCAGAAATTTGGCTACGCTGACAGCTAGGCCATTGCAGCAAGACATAATAACATGGATGTTACAGAAATAATACTAACGGATGACCTTGCCGTTATAGGAGAATACCTTCGCAAATGTAGGCTACGGTCCAATGTGTTGTTTCCATCTGAATAATGCCCAAGCCAACAAAAAACTGTCCGTTCACTTTGAAACAGACTGCTCACACATAACAACACCAAAATATCTTAAAGTGACTCTGGACAGAACATTAAGTTTTAAAGAATACCTACAAAGAACGGCCGCAAAACTGAAAACGTGCAATAATATAGTCCAATAGCTATGTGGCACCACATGGGGTCCTCAGAATCTGTACTCAGTTCATTCGCCCTCGGACTTGTATACTCGGTGGCTGAATATGCTTCCCCGGTATGGCTCAATAGCAAACATACGAAGAATAATGACACCCAACTTAAACCAGACAATGAGAATGATCTCAGGTACAATTAGACCCACACCGAACTATTGGCTTCCCATTCTGAGTCACATTCCATCACCGAAATTGCGAAGAATGATTCTCTTCTCAAAGAATATCTAAAAATCGATGCTAACCATCAACTATAGTACTTGCCAGCACTCTTGACCATGTAGCTGCGCGAAGGCGAGTTAAAATTCACGTAAAGGCAGAAAGATTCTATTGTAAGTGGAATTATACTAACCAAACTAAAACGTTCTACCTTCGACTGCAACCTCGAAATTGTCGAAATAATTACAGTGTTGGACTGAGTAATAAATAAAAAATTGCACGGTGCATAACCAAAATGGTTTTTATGTGCATTTCGTTTATATTTTCAATGATTTTTGTTCAATTTTTTTTAAACTTTAATTTGGTATTTTAAACTCAACTTTCAGTATTAAACGTGGAAAAAGCCTATTATTTATTGCAAAATTATTGTTTATAAGTTTATATTTTCAATTTCTTATTTTAAGTTGAGACATATAACTAATATTATGAGATGAATAACTAATACACATTTAATTTAATAATTTATTTTTAAAATTTCTAAACAGTTGTACCTACTTACAGCTTATTTACAAATTAACTATTTTTTTTATTTATTTATAGGTGTATTTAGGACGGTAAATTAAACGATATTCAAAAAAGGGTACAGCGAATAATTTGATTTAGTGATAATTTGTTTACTGATTTGTTGAATGCTAAGGATTGATTTATATGTAACAATAAAACACTGAAAACTTTGTTTTCAAACTTCCACAAAATTTATTTTAAAACTTATCACTACAGCTGTTTCGGCTGATTGCCTTTCTCAAGTGATCTATTTTTGGCTTGGGTTTACAAATTTATAGTCTCTAATGAAATAGGTTGAGGAGGGGCGAACTGTTTGTCTCAAGTTGGTCATTCAGAATTATATTTGTGTTTTTTAACTTGTTGATTTCCATAGATTCTAACAAAAATAGCTTAAGGCCTTTATTTTAAATGTGAAGAATTTTAAATTTGTCATTAAAAGAATGATTATGATCTAGAAGGTGAAGTGCGTATGTCGAATCTGTTTTTCTATTCTTGAAAGCCCTTTTATGTTCTGTTATTCGTTTATCAAAGTTTCTACCAGTTTGACCGATGTAAGTTTTTGGGCAGTCGCCACATTGAAGTTTGTACACACCACTATTTAAGTGTTTTTATTTTGGCTCTTGTTATTTTTAATATGTTTGCCTAGGTTGTTATTTGTTCGGAAAGCTGGTGTTATTCCTTTCTTTTTTATGTGTTTGGCATTTTTGTTGTTATTTTGCCTGTATATGTAATCGAGCAGAAGGTACTGGGTTTTTTCTCTGGTGGTGGAAATACTAATTTCAGGGCTTTCTTGTGTAGTTTTTGATTTAAAATTTTATTAATTGTTTGTTCGTTGTATCCGTTGTTTACTGCTATTTGTTTAATTATATTTAATTCTGTCTCAAAGCTGTATTTTGACATCGGAATTTCTGTTAATCTATGTAACATACTATGATAAGCTGCCAGTTTATGTTGTATTGGATGGGATGATGAATTGTGTATAGTCGTATCAGTATGGGTAGATTTATGAAATATGGAGAAGTCATGTTTGTTTTGAAGTCTGCTAATTTTTAAATCTAAAAATTTATGGATTGATTTTGTTCTGTTTCTATTGTAAATTCAATATGACTATGAAGTGAATTAATATACGATAAAAATTGGTCGAGTTGCCTGTTAGTTCCTGTGAAACATACCAGTACGTCGTCTACGTATCTCCACCAATATAAAAACTGTTTGAATACGTCGGATGTTTTGAAATCTTGTCTCTAGATGATCCATAAAAATATCTGATAGCAATGGGCTTAGAGGATTACCCATTATAAGTCCTGCACTGTTATTTGTATATATTTTATTATTAAATTCAAAGTAGTCCTGGTTTATGCAAACTTCAGAGATGTAAAATTTCAGATGTAATTATTGGATTTGTACTATTTTGGTCTAAAAGGTTTTTTACTAGAATAAAAGTTTCTGTAGGAGGGATACTAGGAAAAAGATTTTTTACGTCAAATGAAATTAATCTGGAGTTGTTAGGTAATTGAAAATGTTGTATTTTATTAACTAGTTCTATTGTATTTTTTATGGTAAATTTAGGTGAAAATTTTAGTGTGTTCTAAAATAATCTCTAACAGTTTTTTTGAAAGTTTATATGACGGAGCTGTATAAAAGAAACTACAGGTCTTATTGGATGATCCGGTTTGTGTAGTTTAATGAAAGAGTATAATTTAGGAGGCTGTGGGTTCATGATATTTAGGTATTTCTGTTCTGTTGGATTTAGTATTGATTTTGAATTTTCTAACGCTAGCTTAATTTGTTTTTGATATTTTTCTGTCGGATCTTTGTGTAAAGTTTCAATATTTTGATTATTTAAGAATTCTATTGTTTTTTTATTATATTCTATTTAATCTATAGCAATAGTAGTGTTACCTTTGTCCGCTTTTGTAAACACAATGTTGTTTTCTATTGATTTATTTTTAATTGAAATTGCTGTTTTATTCTCTTTGTAACAGGAATTCTTAGTCTCACTAAACACATCTGTAATAGATTTGGCAATTATACTTTTTTCGATATTGTTAGCAGTTTTGTTTAACTCTACTTCACATTCTACACCTAAATATTCTAAAGTTCTCTCATTATTATGTTGGGGCAAGTTGTGTTTAAATCCTTTCTCTAAAAGTTGTATCTCGCTGTTACTAAATTTAGTATCTGTTAAATTTATAAATCTATTGAAAAGTTGGTCGAAAAACTTTTTGTATAATGAATATTGGGTTTTTTACTATTGGAAATTAGATTATTTAATTTTTTACACTGTGTAATGAATATTTTATCTATTATATTTATCTATATTAATTCTCACGTTAGAATCTAGGATGTCAAATTCTATGTTATTTAATCTATAATTTAATTCTGAATGAATACCTTAAGATAAACAGCTATAATATCTCGCTTCTTGTATTGGTATTTTCTGTCTTGTTTAAGCCATCTGGTCTGACCGTGATGAATTCCTTTTGTGCAGCGAGGCTGTGGTTTTTGGTTTTTAACTGAATATATTTCGGGAACACTTGATTTTGTAAACACATATTTAAAAACCAGATATTTGTGTCGCCAGTCTACGTTTCAGATGTAATCTTGAAAACAATATGGTCAAAAGTCCTGTACTAACTTTTTTTAAATAATTGATGGATTCGACGTTACTTGATGGAAATTCATTTATGTAACAATAAAACCATACGTCAAATTTGGAATTTTCCATACGTCATATCTACCAGAAATCAGAGATTACTAGGAATTGCAACGAAGTTAGATAAGAACAATTAGAAACAATAGAACAATAATTAGGTTCTACCTACCTATACGTAGATTTCCTTTTAGTAATTAGTTGGATTTAGTTATATACCTGAATTCTTTAAAAGGTTGCTGCTGTGGAGATACGTGTATCATCAGTGTAGATAACATCGTAAACCCTCAGCTCTATATTTTTTTAGATATTCGGTTCGTTTGGCTCGAATATCCATTTTTTCCATGAGTATTTTTCGGTTGTCATTTGTTTTTTTGCCATTTAAAACCTAATTTCTTCAACACTTTTCTGAACGACGATAGTTTACCTTGGAAATTAATCTCATTCTTAACAGCGTTGTAAACAGCTGACATTGTAGGCCTGCTGCCATGAATCATTGCAAAAGTATGCACTGTGTTTCTTATAATTTCTCCCTCATAACCATCGACGTTGGTTTTCGGTTTTTTCTGATTAATCTTTTTTCTGGGAGATTTAAAGACATTTCCCGAGCTGCCTGAAGGAGATGAAAAATCGGAAACTCTCTCTCCTTCTTTAATGATTCTTTGGACGCTACTTTTAGAAATTTCAGTGGCTTCCACAACCATATTTAAAACCGAGATTTTGTGTTGTTTTTTTTTGCGCCTTTTTTAAAAACTATACACATTGTAAACAATATGTCGACCCTGACTGTGAATAACACGCTGTTATTAATTGTGATGGGCACTGTGAAGAAAAATGAAAAATATAAAAAAATATTTAAAAAAATCAAACATAAATCGTAACATATGAAGTAGTTTAAAAAAAAGATTTTCCAATATCAAATATTAACCGGTTAATTGAAACGGACTGCAAGTAATTTTTGTTTTGCACCAGTCTCAAAACAAAAAAGAAATGAAAAAATTTATTAAAATGTCCTTAATGCGCCCCTATGTATTTTAATTTATGATAAAGTACCTACCTTTTGACCGCTTTTAATAAATTTGAATACGCAACAGGTAAACGGGAGAAAACACACAAACTTATTGAAGTTAACACCTCAAAGTCAGAAGCACAACTAAAAATTTTCAAGTCGATATTTTCACGTTGCATAGTACAGTGCGTTTCGCATGGAAGTGGAAACTAAACCAAATTTCGTCTACTGCGCCGTGGTCAAGAGTGCTTGCACGGACTATACCCATCCACCACGGTAAGCTTGATATCGAAATAAACATACTGCGCCAGGATAAACCCCCAGGCTTTGAAATGACAAAATACATGGATACCGCTTAACAGAATAAGAACAAGCGGTAGATATGCTGACAGCTTATATAGATGGGGAAAGATGCCTTACTCCTGTGTGTGACTGTGGTGAGCAACGACAGACCGTCCATCACATTGTTGAAGAATGCCCCCGAATGCGATTCCCTGGAGTTTTCGATGAGTTCCTAATCCTAAATGCGACCGAAATTTGTTTTACATTATATTAATAATGCATATATTCGTTTGAATTTCTCCATGTAACGCTTTATATTGATTTTTAATTATGTGTTCTTATTATATGCCAAACGATAAATAAATAAAATTATTATTTTAAAAGTATCGAACAAAAAACTGACTTCTGCTGACATGGACTCTTATGAATTCATTACTAATTTAGAGTTTGATACTTACGAACATTTAAAAGGCTTTTCTCCAGTATGTGATCGCATATGTTGGACAAGATGACATTGCATTGACATTGTTTTCCCACAAACATTGCACATGTATGGTTTTTCCTTAGTATGTGTTCTCATATGATAAGTAAGATCTGGAGCTTGTCTAAACCCTCTACCGCATATGGTACACAAAAATGGTTTGGAACCTAAAAAACGATCTTATAAACAACCTTAAAATTTATTTACTAACACTACGGCATGTCCCAAGATGGGATGAATATGTAAAATTAAGCATTAACAAGACGCATTCATCAAATAGAAAGATTAATATTTATTTAAGAATAAAAAACACAAGTTTTTAACAAAACAGCGCAGTTGCGTTGCAATATTAAACAATTTGAGAAGAGTATTTTATATTTGAAACCGCAAAATATGGTATTACTTAGTTAAAGAATAAATGAATTATGCTTTTAGCGTATTGGAAACTATTTCATAGAATGGGGACAGTTAAGTGACATCTCCTTTTGGTGCCTATTAGAGATGTGTAGTTCACCATCGAAATAGTTCAAATGAACGATTCTTTCAACTGAACTAATTGAACTAGTTCATCAATTTTCATAGAACTAGTTCACTGCGAACTATTTGCATTATAAATGTGTCTCAACTTCTAAAGAAAAAATAATGAATGAGACCATATATTTCGAATGGAACGGGTCGAATTACATAGTCCCTGATAGAAATAAGGGGAGTAGGAGCAGGCTTTTTCTTAAGAATTATAACTGCTTTCTTTTCATCTTCCCTCTGCTTGTTCTACTAGCGAAACTGATTTTGACGTTGAAGGTTGAGGTTCTTGAAATTGATATGATTGATAGCAGAGTGTTTCATTCTTAAATGTCTTGATAAATTGCCCAGTGAACCACTTGTAATACTAATATCATATGAACAGTAATTACATTTTGCAGATTTTTGATTTTTATCGTTTTTCTCTAACTGATCCCATAAAAAACTTCTATTTCGTCTGTTACTCATCTTTTGGGATTGATTAAGAAAATAAATTATTATAAGGAAAAAATAACTAATCATATAATAATTTAAAACATTTGAACCTAAACATAATACGATCGAAAGAAATGGTTCCGAATCCGAACTACTTGAACGTCCGTACACTGAAAACCGAAGAAAACGAGTTTGTGTGATGATTGAGATGAGACATCTGGCAACCAGTTATGTTAGGGTTGTTCTGTTAGGAAATAGTTCTCTTGAACTGGTTCGTCTAAAAGAACTAATAAGCACACCTCTAGTGCCTATCCTCTGTGGATGTTGGAAATCAGGTTGGTCCATACAACTTTGTTTACAGCTGCTCTAAATAGATGTATGGTAGTCATTCCTGCCCAATGTCTGATGTTCTTCAACCACGATGTCCTTCTGCGCCCTTGAGATCTTTCGCCTTCTATCTTGCCTTGTAAAATTAGTTGAATTAGTTGATATTTCTCATTGCGCATCACCTACCCTAAGTATGTCATCTTTCTGATTTTCACGATACGCATAATTTTCAGATTTTTATTCATACGTTGAATTATGGTGTTGTTTTAACATGATGGATATAGGAAATTCTGAGCATGAGGCAGGTAGCACCACATTTCGAAGGCTTCTAATCGTTTGGATGTTGCTTCCGTCAAGGTCCAGGCTTCGACTCCATATAAAAGGGTAGAAAATACATAGCATCTCAAGACTCGTGTTCTTATATCAATGTTCAGGTGCATATTAAATAAAATCTTCTTGATGCGATTGAAGACAGCTCTCGCCATTTCTATACACCTTATGTACCATCTACAGTTTCCTTGAACAGCATTTTCGAGTAAGTATTAAACAACGTCGGTGACAAAATGCAGCCCTGACGTACTACCTGTTTTATCGTGAACTCTTGTGAGGTTTCGTTAACTACTCGTACAGTTGTTCTTTACTGTAAGTATAAATTTTTAATTAGGCGTAAATCTTTGTCATCACTACAAGATTCTTTCAGAATCTGAAATAATTTTTGATGTTTCACCTTGTCAAATGCTTTTTCAATGTCTATAAAGCATGCGTAGACTTCGTAATTTACGTCTCGAGTTCTTTGTATCAATACTTGTATGGATAATATGGCCTCTCGCGTTCCCAGTCCGCTTTTAAACCCAAACGAACACTGCTAATGGTTTCTTTTTATTTTCTATACATGCGAGAGTGAATAACAGAAAGAATAATTTTGAGTGCATTGCTCATTAAGCTTGTACTTCTGTTATCAGAGCATCTGGTGGCATTTGCCTTTTTGGGGAGAGGGATCAATGTGGAAACTAGCCAATCTGTAGAAAACACTGCAGTTTCCTAGATTTTGTTCAGTAGACTCGTTAGGAGTTTGAGTTGGTTGTTTTCAAATAGTTTCAATATTTCAGCTTGTATGTTATCAGGTCCAGGTTATTTGTTGGTTTTTAGTCTTTTTATTGCATATGTTACTTCACCGAGCGTTATTTCTGGTCCTGAACATCCAGAAACACTGACTTCTGTCTCTTGCTCTTCCTTGAATAATTCTTCCATGTATTGCCTCCATCTCTCAAGTATTCTCTCATTTTCGTAGAGCAGATTGTTGTGCTCATCTAGTATTAACTTGTGACTTCGTGATCCATTTCCTCCAGTTAAGTTTTTGATCTATTCATGTAGGTTAAAAGTGTCATGCTTCTGTTCTAGGGATTCTATTTCTATGCATTGATCTTGTAGTCATGATTCTTTTGTTTCTTTAATCTTTTTCTTAATGATTTTGTTTATTTTTTGTACCTTTCCTCATTCTTATTTCTGTGTTTTCTTCGTTCTTCCATTAGCTCTAATATTTCTTGTCTCATCCACGGCTGTTTCTTTATATTGTTTCTGGTTTAAGTTTATTATCTACCACTGAATTACAGATATTTTTTATTTTGTTCCACATATCATCCACACTTATGTTTTCTTGATTAATATCTGAGATTACCATGCTGTTTATTTTGTTGTTGATCTCCTCTTTGACTTCGTCTTTGGTTAGTGTATCGGAAAAGTTAGATTGACACCAAATCCAATGGATGTTAACCAGTGTTTACAACACTATTTCCAGAAATAATCGAACTAATATTAAACAACATATAAGTGAAGCTATGGGAGCATCTGTTCTCATAACAGAAAGGATAATTCAACAAGCGAATATGTTAAGAAACGCAGATTCAAATAATTCACATGTATTTCCAGCTATCTAACATCTGCTAAACGAAAAGCAAATGTGACATACTTGGAGAACTACGACAAAGCATTAGTAATGCAATTTGAAAGGATTGTAAAAGATTTGGGATTTAAATGAAAAACAGCGAAAGATAAATGAACGTGTGACATTCGTGCTCTACATCTCAAGTATCTAGACAATGTTAAATACTACCAAAAGTGAATGTAAGCCTAGTTAATGGAACCTGTGTACATACCACCGTACGCTGGTCAGATGATAGTGGTAAAGGGTTGTTCAAAAACATTTCAAAGGGAAGTAGGTTTGTTACCAAATACAGTAGTGGTGATGGTTTCAAATCGAATGCCCTTTAGATTTTTACATCAGGTGCCAAGTCTCGAGGTCAACAAGATTATAGTCAATATAAATTTAACAAGTTATTGCAAAAGTGTGGACATAGTTCTTTAAAGCTTCCGCCCTAACATGCAGACTTACACCCTATAGAAATTGTTTGGGCTCATATAAAAATTGGAATGCAAACAAATTGTTAATTGTACTTTAGGAGCTGTAAAAGTGTTGCACATACCACCCAGATAATTTGTGTCACCTACCTGTGTGTATTCTCATATGTGCAATTAGAGTACCAGAGTGTTTGTATTTTTTTCCACATTCCTTACATTCAAATGGCTGCTCCTCTGAATGACTACGAATATGGTGTTTTAAGGCACAATATACTTTAAAACCTCTTTTACATTGTGTACAAACGTATGGTTTTTCCTCATCATGGGACTTTAAATGCACTCTTAAACTGTTCGGAAACTTGAAGGACTTGACACAAATATTACAGGTATATACCTGAAAAAATAATGATTTCGTGTTTTTAAATGAATATTATAAATACATTTAAAGTTTTCATACAGTTGTTATTATCTGTATAATATATGTACTACTGTAAATACCACGAATTCATAAATCTTATAATTGATGCTTCGTTTGCATATAATGCAACACACATTACAGGAGAAATATTATAACATTCCAGCAATAATTTAATAATTTATAAAACAATAAAAATTTAACAATCATCATCATTGGCTTTTACAACTCTTCGTGAGTTTTTGCCGCGTTTACTATTGCCTTCCATTGATTCCGATCCTGTGCTATTATTTCCCATGGCCTTACTTCCATCTTCTCCAGGTCTTCCCTGACTGCGTCTTTCCACCTTTTTCTAGGCCTTCCTGTCGATCTTCTACCATCTGGTCTTTCCCAAAACACATTGCTAATCAGTCTGTCGTCATCACTCCGTACCACGTGGCCTGCCCATCTTAATCTATTGGCTTTTATGTATCTTACGATGTTTCCTTTCCCGAAGAGAGTCTCTATTTCATTGTTGTATCTGCTCCTCCATTCATTTGTCACGCTGTCCCTGCAAGGACCATATATAATTTGCAGGATTTTGCGTTCCCATACTAATAGCTTATTGATTTCTTTCTTTCTCAATGTCCATGTTTCACTTCCATATGTCACTGCTGGTCGTATTATGGTTTTGTACATTTGGATTTTGGCACGCCTTGAGAGAAGCTTTGACCTCATTAGATGTTGAATGGCAAAGAATGATTTATTCCCCGCCAGTATTCGTATTTCAACCTCCCGTTCTCCTGTGTTTTCACTGGTAATTGTTGCTCCTAGGTATTTGAATTCTTTGACCACCTCAAAATTATGATCGTTTATGGTAATGTTTTGTCTTATTCGCTGTCGTTCCTTTTTTGATACGACCATGTATTTAGTTTTTTCTTCGTTTATTTTCAGGCCTACGCTTAGTGTTGCTTCTTCAAAGTTCGATACTATATCCTTAACTTCCAGTGTTGTCTGTGCTACTGCATCTACATCATCTGCAAATGCGAGAATAATCTTTGCTCCTCTGGCAGTTATGTCTGGTTTGACTCTGGTATAGATTTTTCGCATTGCGTATTCCAATGCTAGGTTAAATAGTAATGGGGACAGCGGGTCTCCCTGTCTGAGCCCGGTGCTTATGCCGAAAGCCTTTGAAGTTTTGCCTCCTATTCTAATTTGTGCAAAGGAATTGTTGACACACATTCGCGCAATCATGGTCAGCTTCTTTGGTACGCCTAACTCCATCATTGCACTCCACAGTTTTAAGCGATCTATGGAATCATATGCTTGTTTGAAATCTATGAAGATCTGGTGTACTTCTTTATTATATTCCTAATACTTTTCTAGCATTTGTCTGATAGTAAATATTTGGTCGATTGTTGATCTTCCAGGCCTAAAGCCGCATTGGTAATCGCCAATAATTTCCTCTGTATATGGCAGTAATCGTTTTAGTACAACTGAAGCTAATATCTTATATGTAGTACCGATTAGTGAGATTCCCCTGTAGTTGCCACATGTATCCTTTCTGCCTTTTTTATGTATTGGCACGATAATACAGCCACTCCATTCTTTTGGCATTATTTCTTGTTCCCAGGCTTCTTTAATTAATTGGTGTATTTCAGTTCTAAGTTCATGCCCTCCTTTTTTAATCAGTTCTTCATCAATATTGTCTAGTCCCGGGATTTGTCATTTTTTAGGGTTTCTATCGCCGTGATAATTTCTTCCAGGCTTGGCGGGGGTACTTCTATCTCGGCCGTTTGGTACTCACAATTTGCTTTATTTCCATCCGCGTCTACCTGGACATTTAGAAGACTTTCAAAGTATTCAGCCCATCTTTCGATTATTTTATTTTCAGCTGTAATCATTTGCTCATTGCTTATCTCTCACAAAGTCGGTGTTCTTATATATGCACTTTTCTTATGTTGTCTTACTTCTTTGTAGAATTTTTAATTTTGCTTGCTTCTGTGTTCACGTTCTACCTTTTCAATTTGTTGTTGTAAATGTTGTCTCTTTTTTCTCCTTACTGTTCTTCTGGCTAAGGCTCTCTCTTTATTGTATTGTTCACGCTTTTCATCCGTCGGGTTTGCTAGGTAGTCGATTCTTCTTTTGTTTGCTTCTTTTAAGGTATCCTCGCATTCTTCATCAAACCATTTTTTTCTTTTTGCTTTTCTCTTCCGACCTATACACTTCTCAGCTGTTTCTGTAATGATCGTTTTATTGGAGTGCTATTTCTGGTCTATATTTTCTCTTTCATTTTCTTTCGTTTCCAACACCTGGAATCTGTTTCTCAATTCTAGTTGGTACTGTCTCTTTCCCTCTTCTTCTTCCAATTTAGACACATTCCATCTTTCGATCTTCATCTGTTTGTCTGTTGTTTGTGTTGAGATTCTAGTTCTGAGCTTGGCCTTTACTAGGAAATGGTCTGTATGAAAAAATTTAACAATAAAACAATTTATTTGTGAACCAATGACTTGACAAAGAAACTATGAAAATGGGAAAGACCAGTCAATTCTAAAAGAACATATCTTACTTACAGTAGAGTAAGAAAACAAGGAAGGGTCAAAGGAGTTGCCATACTTACTGATACATCAAAGGTGACTTTTTTATGTCCAAGGATGGTGTAAAAACAAGCTTGACAAAACAAGTTTTAACCAAGAACAGTAATACACGAAAGGAAAGACACAGAAGCATAACAAATTCTAAGAAACCCTTTTGGGCTAATATTGCCAGAAATTAATAAAGATGTAGAGAAATTTTACAAGACTACCTCAATCAATTGTATGGGCATAATACTGCTCATTTAAGAGGAAGTAAATTCCATTGCAAACTTCACAGTTAAGATACAATATGTTCCTTTTTTAAAAATTGTATGCGTATTCGGCCAAAGGTGCGTATTCGGCCAAAGGTACGTATACGCACCCACCTGTTTTTCCTTTCATGAGAAAAAAATTCTTTTTGGTTGTAAATTAGTCTTAATTTATGTGTTTTTAATCCAATCTAATAAATCAATTGTCAAATTTCTCTTTGTTTATTGTCTCGGCCCTTAATGGGTTAAGGCACTCGATTCTGTAGAAGTCAATTCTATGCTAGTATGGAATTGTGTGTGTGCTCCAAATAAACTAGGAGACCTGTGCAAGGTTACGGTAGCCTGGGTACCGGGGCACGAGGGTCATAAGGGCAATGAAAAAGCAGATGAAATGGCCAAATAAGGCTCTTCAATGCCAACATCGGACCGGAACCCTTCTGCGTCGTTGCAAAGACAGTAACAAGAACGGCTACAAGGAAGTGGGTAACTCACAAATCTCTGGAATGGTGGAGGAATTCACCAGGACAAAGACAGGCGAAAATTCATTACAGAACATTCGCCAAAATTTACAGCAGACCTAATAAGCAAAGACAGGAAAACAGGCAAAGCTGTAGTAGGATTACCAGGTTTAGGATTATCAGGTGATGACCTGTGCAGTCACCTCAAAGAAGAAACAACAGAGCCCATTCTATGTCAGTGTGACAGTCTGGCAAATGTGCCGTTCTTTGCATTAGGAGAAGAAAATCCACATGCAAATAGCTACATGAAGGTACAGTCTCGAAGAGTCTATTAGAGTTTTTAAAAAGGGTCAGGCTAGAGAATGTTATCTAGGACTAGAGGACCACAATAGATCTAAAAAGGTCTAAGTGGAATAGGCCAAAAGGTCGCCTCTCTAAATATATCTATCTATATATGTTTATGCTAATTAAAAACTGTTCTACATTACACAGAATTTAACTTCACGTATCTTCAATGAATCCTACATTAATAAGCTGTAGAGCAAATGTACACATGTAGGATTTTGTATTATAAACAAAACTAACTTCTAGACTCACCTCCTGACCATCCTCTTCTCCAAAACTTTTATAATAATTCATGCTAGGTACGTCTTTACTACCTTTTTCGTTTTTAGTTGATTTGGAATGTTTTTCATCTAAGTTTAAGCCGCAAAAATTTAATTTTGGAGATATAAGTTCTAAATTTTCAACTCTAAAGTTATCCTTTATCAATTGATCAACAGTATCTTCTCCTAATGGTATACAACTTTTCAGATCATCACAGTCTTCGCTTTCATCTCCATCCTTTAAATCGTCATTTGGTAAATATTCATCATGTATGAACTCTTTTATTAATCCATCCGAAACCAAGTTGCCACTATCTGAAACATTTTCACACTGTTTCTCGAGAGTGTTTTCAATAGCTGCTATTTCATTTAAATCGATTGTATTATTAGTTTCGAACTTTTCTTTTATTTCCATATTTTTAATTTGTTGTAAATAAGTTTCTAATACTATTTGGGATTTGTTACATTGTTGTTGAAATTTGTAAGCATTATGAGCACTGTTGATACACTTGGCACATATCATACTTGGTAATTTTTGATCTTCAACCTGAAACAAACTATTTTGAAATATTTCTGGTTAAGAATTTAACAGTAAGTCAATAAGTGTATTCTACTCTACATTTAGATATTAAAGTTGGTTTGGTTTTACAAAGAACAATAATAGAAGGAAAGTAATAAACTTTCAAGAACCCTTTACCCTGTATGATTAGAATAATTTTTGTTTAGTGTAGAAGTAATGACACCTCATATAAGTTTAAAATTTAAAAACTCAGATGCTGGAGAAATTAAATACCAAAAAGTACAGACAGGGTGCTATCAGTAGATAAAACAAAGTTTTTCGTTAGCTCAGTTCTGTTTTAGTTGTGACCATAGACATAGAGTGTGTCAACTTAAAACTTACAATGGACTATATCATGAACAAAAGCTGATATAGCAAAAATGCTTGAAACCGTTTCTAGCATATAAGGGGAACTAAAATGACATGAAAGAGAACTCACCCCCATCAACCTCCTAGGCCTCACCCACCGCAACCAAAAAAGTTTAAATTGCAAAACCCCTATGTGTGATACATTATTGAAAAGATTATAAAAATGTTATCCAATGGTATAAATAATAATGATATAGGGTAAAGCAATAATTGTGAAACTTTGGCTTCAATGAAAAATTTAATGAGTTTTTGTTGAACTAGAAAAGTCAGGTGGCGGTAAGTCTGGTAACCTCGGTGACCACTCAATAGGACCTCTCCTTCTAATCCATTTGTTTGAATAATTACTATCCAATCATTGCCTAACTGGAGCTGCATAGTGGGGAAGTGTTCCAGTGGGAACTGAAGCAAATCTTCGTCTAGAGCTAGGTTGCCTTGATCGTCCCTTGGGTTCTCTAATTCATGCACAATTAAAGGTTCGATGGTGTTTTCCAGCATATCGAGATAAATGTCGCTACTTAAATTGCCTAGTATAAATAAGGGGCTAATTATACCATCGCCTAATATTCCTGTCCAAAACATTCACTTTTTCAGGATATTGAGGGTGGCCTTCTCTGAATCGATGCAGGTTCGCATCACTCCAGTACCGACAATTTTGTCGGTTGCACTGAAGCAATTTTTTTTATAATTCTCGGCTCAACGCGAATTCATTTAGTCATGAGTTCACAAAATTCAATTCGTTGGTTTGGATCATCGTCGCCTAGTTCTTGAAGAATTTGTGTTTTGTACGGGTGAAACTTTTTAACACCTTTATAGTTTATTCGTCTTCCGGGTTTGGACCGTGTCATTTGTGAGTGACCCAAAAGTGGGTTCATCTCACTGGAGATGAACCCACTTTTGGGTCACTCACAAATAACACGGTCCAAACCCGGAAGACGAATAAACTATAATTCTTACCCTGGCCGTGGAAGCATACGATTTCATTTTTAATACCTTTCTAACTGACTCATGTGAAAGTCCTGTCATTGCAGATACTTGACGTTGTTGATGCAGTAGGCTCTATTACAAAATTTCCAAGTACCTCAATTTGGGGTGCTTCATTCAGTAATCGTTTACCTTGGACAGCAATTAAATTGTAACGCAGAAAGTCACGGCGAAATTAGATCTAGGATAGAGCAGGCTAGAGCTGCTTTTAGAAGGATGTTAGGTTATTATGTAACAAGGATGTTAGGTGTTATGCAGAAGATTTGATGAGGACAGAAACGAATTATACAGAAAGCTAGGTAGGGTAAGTACAAATACCATAATGCAGGTAGCAATGAGAGGAAAGACTGAGTACAAGGCAATATTGGAGGCAGTAACTCAAATTGTCAGAAAGAAGGAGATATTAGAGAGGAATCTACAGCAAAGGTAGGTAAGAGAGTGAGAGAGAGGGCGAAAGAGAGAGAGAGAGGGGATGGGCTATTCATGTCATGCACCGGTCTGGAGAGGACCTACCGCATGAGTAGCCTGTATAAAGGGGGTGGTACTTTAGTTGGCAGGCAGGGAGCTATGGGTGTATCTGTGACCACGACTCCTCTGGGGGGACTGCGTGCGGATGGATCCTTCCACCCTGAATCCAACACACGCCAGGTCATCCTTAACGGGACACGGCCTGGTACGGTCTTTAGAAGATTTACCACCAAAATAAAAGAGGTGTTATGTAACAGAGACCTAAAACTGGTATTGAGGATTCGCCTACTTCGCTGCTACGTGTTCTCGGTCTTACTTTATGGTGTCGAGTCCTGGACTGTGAATAAAATCGATCTAAATCACCTTGAGGCTTTCGAGATGTGGTGCTATAGAAGAATTTTAAAAGTTTCCTGGGTGGAGCAAATGCGAAACTCTACAATACTAAAACGTCTCAGCAAGACTACTGAGATCGTAAAAAGCATCAAGCAGAGAAAGCTGAAGTATTTCGGACATGTAATGGGAGGTCCCAAATATAGGTTGCTACAAAATATCATGCAAGGAAAAATAGCAGGTAAATGCAGTCCAGGACGAAGAAGAACCTCATGGTTAAAAGAACTTTCGAGATTGGTATGGTGTTGATACAAGCATGCTATTTAGGGTAGCAGTGAATAAAATTAAGATAGCTATGATGGTAACCAACATTCTGAAAGGACATGGTACATGAAGAAGAAGATTCAGTAATCTTGGGGCATACCTTTTTTTATTTTGCATTGATCCCATTTCTCTAAACTTTTCAACTAAATCGCGGACGTACACGTGACTTACATTTTTGTCCGGATGCCTTTCATGAAATATTTGAGCTGTTCGTAAATAACACTGGTTCTGGGACTCAGAAAACAGATGTTTTCAACTTGTTTTGCAAAAAAAAATCCGACGAGCACTTCATTAAATACAATAGTCCGGGAAATATCATTACAAATACAAACACCCTGTATAATTATTAATAATTTACAGGGTCATTAACAGAATCAACAAAAACCTCATTAAATTTTTCATTTAAGCCAAGACAATTATTGCTTCACCGTGTGTAATTATTATTTATATCATTGGATAGAATTTTTTATTGTCTTTTCAATGAAGTATCACAAGTAGGGGTTTTGCAATTTAAACTTTTTTGGTTGTGGTGGGTGGGGCCTAGGTGGTTGATGTGGGTGAGTTATCTTTCATGTCATTTTAGTTCCCCCTTTTTATCCTAGAAACAGTTTCGACCATTTTTCGATATCAGCTTTTGTTGGTGAGATATAGCCCATTGTAAGTTTTAAAATTGACACACTGTATAATACCTAGACTCACCACTGCAATATAGGGCCGCTTACCCAGTGCGATAGAGAAAAAGTTGCAAAGCAGTACCTGGGTGTCTTTATAATGGGGGGGGGGAGGTTATCGACCACGAGACCTTCCCACTACTAAACACAAGTGAGGTAGCAACTTAATTATAACTTACATGTTTGATCCATCAAGTGGTAGTTCAGCGGTATTGTTTCTGCCTCTACTGATTTTTCTTTGTTTATATAAATTTAATATTACTTTTCCACCACGTTTTAATATTACTACCCACCCCTCTGTGGCTCAGTGGTAAGAGCGCCTACCTTTAAACCTAAAGGTCGTGAGTTCGAATCTCATCTGGGTGGAGAAATTTTCATTTATTAAAAATTAATGAATGAAAATAATTTCTATCCTTGTGCGATCGGTACTCACCAGAGGGACCGCAGACGTTCGGATACAATTAGCGTCTCTTAGCAAAGACAATGACGTCGACTTCTAGACCTGTTTGTGTAAAGAACGTATAAAGTCAGATGACTTTATAATGGCAGTTCAATATTAAATTTACCGGTTTACCCATTTACGCATGTTATTTATGCGTGTAACATGTTTCAAACATATTTGAACAATCTCGGTACTCCGTAGGAGTACTAGGTACCTGACTGTACCATGCCAATTATCATAGTTGTCGAGGCATTAACCCAATAAAAAAAAAATATCACCCACCCCAATTCTAGACCTGTTTGTGTAAAGAATGTATAAAGTCAGATGACTTTATGGCAGTTCAATATTAAATTTACCGGTAATCAAGTTAAATTATAAATAACACTAATGTTATTTATGCGTGTAACATGTTTCAAACATATTTGAACAATCTTGGTACTCCATAGGATAGAGATGGATGAAACAGAGAATGAATGGTATAATAAGTATTGGACATTGACATGCTATTCAAAATCACCAATATTTTACATGTTGTAACAGTGACAGTGTAGTGATAAGAAACACTGTTGACTTATGCCAGTGTGTGCCACTGCTATACAGCTAAATGCTAAATTTTCCTCTATGCTTCTTTCCTAATGTTTGCTGACGATTTAAAATTATATTTGAAAATTGAGAATGATGGTGACTATCAAAAACTAAAGTCTGATTTGGATCGGTTGAACTATTGGTGTGACAGCAACAGAATGGAACTTAATGTTAAAAAGTGTCATTTAATAGTTTTTGGTTGGAATAAAACTCCTACAAATCATATCTATACTATCAATGGTTGCCCTTTAGACTCTGTATCTCAGAGAAAAGACCTAGGTGTTGTGCTCGATTCCAGCTTATCCTACATCCCCCATATCTCATCTGTTGTCTCAAAATCACTTCAACTTTTAGGGTTGATCAAACATTGTGCTAAAGACTTTCTAAATATCTCATCCATAAAAATTTTTTTATTGTTCACTTGTGAGACCCAACCTAGATTACTGTTCATGTGTTTGGTCTCCTCACTATAACACTCATATTCAAGCTATTGAGAGAGTTCAACACCAATTCTTAAGATTTGTTGCATCTAAACAAAACTAACTAAATTAACTATTCAAATATGGAAAAGTCCCTGAACATAACTTATCTCCGAATCCGACACATGCACAAGGATCTTACTATGTTTTTATAGTATACTGCATCTATATTATTTTTGGTCCTCAACTACTGGAAAAAATGAATCTCCATCTCCATCTCCAGTAGACAAACAAGACTAAGTCAACCCTTTTATGTTAGACCCCATCGCACAAACTACAGACTCAATTCATTCACATCTAGAACACCAAGGATAGCTAATCATTATTCCCAAAGGTTGGATTGTTATAGTATTCCAAAAGAATGTAAAGCTCAGCTTAAGAACTGTCTGTGATAGCTTGATTTGCTTGAGTTTTTACATTCTTTGTTAATGTTTGTTATTTACTGTTCCAGCTTTTATTTTTTGTAGGATTAAAATTTTTAAATTTAATTTCAGTAGGTTAAGTTAAGAATCAACTGTAATTTATCAATAATGTTTACATTGTATTTTAATTGGGCGATTGCCCGTTGATAAATAAATAAATTAATAAAATGGAATTGTTGAAAGTAGTTTGGAATTTAAAAACAAAGACCTACATGTGCAGTGTCAATATGTTGTTATATGTATATGAATGCTTAAAAAAGAAAATGTACAAAATTTTGACAGAACTTTTGTAAACAGAATAAGTCAACTTACAAAACTATAACTATCGACAATTTATCGTATTGTAAGGGAAGAAAACGTTATAAATCACTGATTAAAATGAAAGCGAACAAATCAAAAATTCAGAAAAATAGATGAAGTCAATAAGAATGTTATTCGAAAATGTGTATAATTTCTACAAGGAAAACGAGATACCTACACTACATATGATACAGAATGCACTAAAAGAATATCTTGATTATGACTACCAATATTTAGCAACATTACGAAATATTGTGATAGACTGTGGGTTTTTTGATATAAGAAAATAAATAATCAAATGGAACAATACACTATCTTAGAACATACTACTGCCCTGAAATATATCTAGAATTAATAAGTCTTCTTTTGCACGAGTTTGAGCTTGCTAAGTCCACTAAGTCTTGGATTTTTCATTGATCAAAATCTATATATTGCATGCTTTTCTCTGAGAGTTATAAAAACATATAATGGCCAGAAAGTCTTGTTGTCAGTGTAGTATATAAACTTCTACTGACCACTATGGTATGGAATAATTTTTTGGGAGGCTGCTGTAGACAGCTCTGTTATCTTTGCTGTCCAAAAAAAAGCTGTTTGAGTGATTCCTGGAGTGAGAGCTAGGGAGTTATGTTAAATTAGGTTCAAACTCTTATACAGTTGAGTACATGGTTCGTTACATTTGGGTCATTAATACCCAGAGAAGTATATACCCAAAAATTAATGAAAAATAATTTGCTCTCATTGCAGTGCTTATTGCAAGTGGGAGGAATCACATAAGAAAACTTTACTTGGCAGAAATGTGGGCCGAAAATGAAGTATTTAAACAACCATTTTTTACAGCTGTAGTATTTAAAAATAGACTAAAAATTATATAAAAACACTTAAGATTTGATTACCCCTCCACAAGGGAAAATAGAATAATAAAAACAAAAATACACTAGAAGCAATTAGCAATACATTATGATCAATTTGTAAAAAATTGCGTTGATAATTATACCCTTGGAGAAAATATCACAGTTGATGAGAGACTGGCTACATTCAGAGGAAAATGTCCATTCATCATCATCTTTAGCTCGACAATCCTCTGTGGATCTTGGCATGCTCTAAGATTCGTCGCCATTCTGTTCGGTTTTTGGCAACATGTTGCCATCTTCTGATTTTTAATATTCGTAAGTTGGTTTCTAATCCATCTAACCACCTAATTCGCGGTCGGCCTTTACTTCTTTTTCCTACAGGTGTTCCTGTGGTTAGCTTTTTAGCAATGGTATTTTCAAAATGTCCATTCAGTGTTTATAAATAAAGTAAACCTGGTTGATATGGAATAAAAATTTGGGTTTGTTAGGACTCTGATACTGCGTATATTTTGAACAGTCAGATATATACTGAAATGATAGATGCAGAGTTTTAGGGTAGTTTTAGATATAGTTAGACCCTATTTTGGATCGGGGCATGGAGTTACAATGGACAATTTTTTCACCTTGATTCACCTAGCTAAAGAACTGCTAACACATCAAGTTACAATTACAAGAACTCTAATGGCTAACAAAAAAAGATTCCTGTCAAATTTGGTCTGAATTATGTGCATGAAGAATGTTCCTCTATTTTTGAATTTTGTGCTAGAGGGATTCAACATTATACAAATCGAAGATGTACCTTTTATGCCAGATTGTGGGATATCAGAACTAAAATATCATATAGTACATACAGAAAACCCATCTGCAATATACCTCAATAAGAAAGAAAAAAAATTGTAAAAATGACTGCAAAATAATGAATAAGAAAAAAATATAATTAAAAGTGTAAAGATAACAAATTAATGTACATTTTTTTAATAAAAACAAATTATTTCAGTGCTAATTATTTCATTACTAGTGCTTGATTGTGTAAGTTTCCAAACAATAATGTATATTTTAAATGAATTATTAAAGTATTTTAGTAGGATACCAGAATTACCCCACATAGTCTGAAGCATAAGTTTTTATAGCATGGTTCCAGAAAGGTTAACTAAGAGTCCATGTATGAGACAAGAAATATGTAAAGTTTATTGATTGCAAAGTCTAACTGTAGGACAGCATTTGTAAATTCCATAAACAATTGATAATTGTCCACATTTTTAAGCAAAACTGATTTTCTAAGATAAACTTAAAAAATATATTATCATAAGCTCTAGAAACCAACAAGAAATAAAAATAGAAAAATAGGCTCCACTCACTGGCAGAAAACGATGTAGACCAAGATGGTCCTGGAGAGAAGATGTTGAAAATAATAACCTCCAGTGGTTTAAAAACTAAAAATTGCTTTAACAGAAAACACTGGAAACTAGAAACAGGAATGTGGAGAAACCAGCTATAGAAGACTTGCCTATTATATACATAAATATCGCCTATTATATACATAAATATTGCATTACATACATTAAGTACATACATAATTTTGAAGATATTTGCTCAGGGAAGGATAGGTCTTTATGATACTGAAATAAACTATAATTACACAATTAAAGTTGTGTAGAGTTGTGTATGAACTATAAAAAATGTTACTGTGTAAGAGTTATCTTTATATAATATAAATAAATTAGTATAATCAGTGATGTAAACAATTTAAAAAATCAATGAAATATAGTAGTTTTGATTTTTAATGTTAGTAGGTAAATGCAATAACCTAGATATATAGAAGGTATTGATTGTTTCCACTTAAAAATCTAATGAATGATTTATGTAATTTATATAAACAAGTGATAGTAGTTTTTACTGAAAATCATTATCTTACGTTTATATTTGAGATGTTTGTAAGAATTTCTCCAATTGTTGGTATATTTTCACAATTTTGTTCTAATAAAGCACTATGGACTGAAAACATTGAATCGGACTCGATTAAACACACTCTACATATTTTTTCTAATCTAATGAAAAAACTATGCCTTCCATTCTGTATTTAAGCCGGTATTTATCTTGTTTTTAAACAAAAATAGTTTTATTTTTATGTTTATGTGACTGACTTATTATTATTTTTTTTAATCTAAGTAAGATGACGTATATGTCAAATTCTTCTTTTTACCGTGGTGTTACCGTACACTGCTGTGTAAGTCCCAAGTTACAAATTCCTTGTAGTTTGAGGACCCTATTTATAGAAGTAAAGAGGTATAAGTAATATAAAGTAAATTTTGAGTAAACGCCGTTCAAAGTTGAGCCTTCATTGTAATTGCCATGATTATTTAATGCTAGTTTTTCTTCTCCGGTTTAGTAACTGTAGGCATTATTATTTTTTATAAGAAAAACTTATAATTTGATTGAGTTTACTCATTTTGGAGCTATTTTTAGGTTGCTAAGTAGCACTTGTACCCCTTTACTTCTAAGAAATGCAACATAAAGTTGAAAATGTAAATAGATCATAAAGTTTTTGTACAAATTTATTCTTCATCATAACACTAATACATAATTGACTTATGATTCGTAAATATCAGTGTCGTAACATTGATCCAAATCGTCATTTTCGACTTTTGCGTCTTCTGAGTTTGCTAGTTCTCCAGCTTGTGGATCATCATGTCGCAGATTTGTGAAGAACTCATGGTAGATTGTAGATACGTAGCTAAGTAACTGTTGAAGATTTGAATGTTAAGGTTGCTTAATGAGAGGCCTTATGCCAATCAGTACTGGCAAGAGATCTGGCAGAAGGACAGAATTTTTGCCAGCTCGAGTGGGTCTCAGAGATAGCTCACTAAACTCTTCTATGCTACCTCCAGCTGTTCTCTTGAAAAACGGGGTGAAAGGTTTATCCTGCTGAAAATGTAACCAATACATACTCTGTATTCCGTTTGCGCTCTTCTGAAAGTGCGCAACTGTTTGGAAGTCTTAAAAAATCGTCATTTTTCATCTGTACTGTAAAGAACTTTCTACTTGTAGAAAGTGACTAGCTCCATCCAATGTTGAGGTACATACATGCCCTTTTTATTATTTTTTTTTTTTAACTATATCAAACGAAAGTTTTGGTTCGATAGACTTATTATTATAGCGCCTCTTTCACTCAGGATACTGAACACGACGTCAGATATTTTAAACGTTTTGGTTTGTTCAATGTGTTGGAAATGGCATTCAGAAAGTCGAAGTTGAAGCCAGTACGGCATGGGTAGCACTGGAATTCAGAGGGTCGTACTCCATTAGAGAAAGCTAGATTTTTAGCTTTTGGGCGGCGTACGCCGAGGGGGCGATAACCTAATAGGTTTTGGTTTACGCTATTATTTGCATCAATGTTTAAACTTGACATGTAAGGTCCAGGATTGGCGTCTGAAACAGCATTTCGCACTGCATCAGCTAACACACCTACACAGGGAACTTCCTCATAGAGATTGTGCAGATGGTCATCGATGTTTTCGCCGGAAGGGCGACGGTGCCATAGTAGCACTGATGGGGCGAGGCTTCCATATATTTTAGGAGACAAGATGATATTTCCTGACATCAACATGACGCCTGACCTTCGTGCCACATAAAGAAATGGACGTTTTAGTCTGTAGGTTATGGACCCCTAAGTTATACGTCTATAGTTGCCTTAAATAATATGCGAAGTTGACACATTAGGAGTTGGCATAGTTTTTTGCAAGTCGAAGATGATCCCAGCTTTGCCAGCATCCTTTAGGTTTATAACACTCATCTTTTGCTGTTCTTATGATTTCCACCATACGCAAGTGTAAGTCTTTTTCTCTCTGAGCTAAAGTTTTTTCTCCTGCCAAACCGTGATTTATTTTTATCTGAAATTTGTCACTGGTGTCTGTACTTGGCCTTTTGACACTAAGGTTGAACTCGGGATTAAAAATATTTCTGTAAAAGCTTTCCTTTACAGGTTCTTCCTTGTTTTCATCCTTACAGATATCACGATAAAATTTGTACATTATTTTCAAATTAACACTCCTGAGGAAGATACCTCCTACTTGGAGCCTTATTTCTAGTGTAGTGGCTTGTGTACCTAGGCAATTTATTAATAGGATCTTTTATAATTTCAATTGCCTTTTCAGAAATTTTGTTCGGGGTAATTTCTTTCGTCTTTTATGCTTGTGGCCTTTCTAAGCCTATGCATTACACGCCTGAGGGGACTTTTTTTAACGTACGTTCAGTTTTTAGGTTACATTTTTGCAACTTTCTTAAAAACACTGTAATTTACAATAACGTAAAACAGTGCAGTTTACAATAAATTATTACTATAACAGCAATTAATATTGCTTTAGATGAGCTATAATATTACTACCCACCCCAAAATGATAACAAACTCAACTAACAGTCCGACACAGTGGAACAGGGGTACAAGTGCACTTGTACCTCTTCTCTTCCAAGCCCTACTCTTAGTTGGCTTGGAGGTTAAGTAACTTGTCGCTAGAATGCAGCATCTGTTAGACTTATCGCTTAGATTTCTTTACCTCCAAATAGAATGAGAGATTTACAATTCGGCGATGCAGTTATCGCAATATTTACAAAAAATGTCACTTATTCCCCTTTACTTCTAGGTTAATCAAGTTTATAGTGCATTATAATACAAAATATTGTTTTACTTAGATATTTTTGAACTAAATCAAAGCTATTAGAATAATAATAAAGTTCCTAATTCAATTAAAAGGCCTGGATAAGATAAGCAATTCAAGTGTGAGGAGAACACTGCGAGAGAAAAACCTATGGGTTTAAATCTCATCAATAAAAAACTGATAAGTTTACTTTTTAATGGTTTATTTTACGTATTATTAAAATACTTTTATAATAGTTTGGAAATAGGCTCATTAAAACATTTTGAAAGCTTCTACTCATAGTCTGTTTTTACAACCATGCCACAGAACAAAATATTTCTGAAACCCTAGAAAAGGAAAGAGATCCTTTCTGTTAAAAAAAAATTGTTTTCACCTTTAGTCACTCTGATGATCCTGTGCCTGATCACTGTGATGATCCGTCTTTCAGGACTTGACACTAAGGACATCCAGATTATAAAAAATCTAATATTGGAATCAAACAGCCCCACATGAAGAATGGACATATGGTGAGTGAAAACATAACCATTTCTAGAGGGGTAAGGCAGGGCTGTATTCTTCGCCACTGCTTTTCAACCTGTACACGGAACAAATATTTCTAGAGGCACTAGAAGAGTACAATGAGGGCATCAAGATTAATGGCATACCAATAAGTAATTTTCGATATGCAGATGATACTATTATACTGGCCGATAACATCGAAGATTTACAGATGATGCTACATAGAGTTAATACAACTGGCAGCCGATTTGGACTGAAGATCAATAGAAAGAAAACTAAATTTATGGTGATCAGTAAAAAAAAATTTCAACATATCGACCTGCATATTGAAGACGAACGTATTGAAAGAGTACACCGATTTAAATATCTGGGATATACAGTAAATGACAAGTGGGACAAGTGGGACCCAGAAGTAGAGATTAAGATCCGAATTGAAATAGCAAGATCCAAATTCATTAAAATGAGAAAGCTCTTAAGCAACCGCAACCTAAGCATTAACCTCCGATGGCGCGCCACGAAATGCTACGTACTCTCTACGCTACTTTACGGCGTAGAAGGGTGGACGTTAACAGCAGCAACTATAAAGAAGTTAGCGGCTCTAGAAATGTGGCTGTATCGACGCATACTGAGAATACCTTGGACAGACAGAGTGACCAACACAGAGGTATTAAGACGAATGGGTAAAGAGGTGGAATTGTTAACAACTGTTAAAAGGAGGAAAGCGTCATACCTGGGCCATGTGTTCCGTAATGATAAGCACAGTCTTCTACAGCTTATCGTGGAAGGCAAGATTGAAGGTAGAAGAGGTTTGGGCAGAAAGAAGAAATCCTGGCTGAGAAACTTGAGAGAATGGTTTCAAATACCAGAAGCTGCGAACATAATTCATGCGGCACAAAACAGAGAAACCTATCGTATGATGGTCGCCAACCTTCGGTAGAAGACGGCACATTAAAGAAGAAGAAGATGATCCTGCTAGAATGAAATAAGTACGTATAAGAGAATATACAGAGGCACTATACGTCAAATCAAATCTAAACTGTCATTTCTTTTATTTCGGTTTACTCTTTATGAGTACAAGAAACCAATTCGCCAAACATTTTTGCTTAGATGAGGAGATATGTTATAGAATGCAACTTTTAGATTCTCCATATCTCTTTTATATCTTTAGTATCGTCTGTTTTGCCTTGAAAATTTATAGAATTCAGAAATAAAAGCAAAAATCTGAATTTTAATTTCTTCAATAGAAATCTTCGGATTTCTACTTCGAGATTTATTAAAAATGGTTTCAAAGGTATCATTAGCTTGAGATACGTCAGAGGTTGTACTTAGAGTGACTTGAGTGTGTCTGAGTTCCAGTAAATCTCCCGTCCATTCTTTTATCCTGAATTGAGAGTAGTCTATTGTACCGAAAATTAAGAAGGGGAGACCTTCGGTCCACAATTTTTTTAACTTTGAGTGATATCTAAGGCTCTAGAGAGCAAATCTGCTACGTTTATTAAAGGGGAACTTACATGATGAAATAAAAAAGATTTACTTAATTATTTGATTGACACCATGAAGTACAAATGGATTCCATGTAAATTTAGTTTTTAAAATTCATGTTAAAGTAATGAGGCTATCTGAAAATATGTAAACTTCAGATATTGTGATGTTTTTCGAAAAAACCTCAAGTACTTTTTTAGTAAGAGTAACACCTAATAAGATACCAGACAATTCTAACCAAGGAATGGTTAGTTTATTTTTTAGTGGAGCTATTCTAGTTTTCAATGCTATGAGGCGAGACGTGACTGTGTTGTCACTATACACGACTCGCAGATACACACAAGTAGCATATATGTTCTGAGAGGCATCGAGGCATATCCGATATAGGCAGTGGAAGTGCCAGGCATCTGGGAAATGTAGTTTTAGATATTGTCTATATAAGTCTTTACCGGTTTCTAAAACACGTATCTTGTGGTACTAACACTAAGAGCAATAAATATAGCACATTTGCGTCTGTTGTCTATACGATTCAAAGAGGATTCGCGGTATTTTTCGGCGTAATTATCAGAGAGAGAGAGAGAGATGAGAGAGAGAGAGAGAGAGAGAGAGAGAACGTCTGTTACTAGCGGTAGTTAGCAGTCGGGAGAGATTACGTCTGTTACTAGCTGCAGTCACCAGTCGAGAGAGATTACGTCTGTTGCTGGCGGCAGTCACCAGTCGAGAGAGATTATGTCTGTTACTAACGGCAGTCACCAGTCGACATAGATTACGTCTGTAACTAGCGGCAGTCAGCAGTCGAGAGATTACGTCTGTTGCTAGCGGCAGTCACCGGTCGACAGAGATTACATCTGTAACTAGCGGCAGTCAACAATCAAGACTCGTTTTCTATTTTAAAACTGTCTGTATTTCTAAAGGAGTGGGATTGAAGATGTAGTAGGAATCATTACTAAGGGTTGGAGTAGGGTAACGATTTTAAAATTGAAGAAGGATAGTCATTAATACAGCGAAAAATTTGACATGGTTTTTCGCATGTGAAAAATTGAACAATTATTACTATTTATTGAATAAAACCACCAAATCCGTGAAATTAAATAATATATAATTTATATTCCAAATGTACAACATATACAAACAAGGGACAATAAAAAAGAATACAACATATAAAAAATATATAACCCTGGTCAAAAATCAGTACAACAATAAAAATATTTACAGTATGTACAAGTTATCTACAATAATCGAAATGAAAGTGTGAACGTTAATTATAAGCTGCCTATATCGTTAAAGCGTTTCAATTTTTCTGGGAATGGATCTTTGAACAGTACAGGATCGGCTCGGAATTCCACAGATTTTAGAGGCATTCTTCCGAAAGCTTTTTCGAACCTGGATATGCATTGGGAACGTTCAACCATATGCCCCAAATCGGCCGATAGCATTTCGTTACTAGCACATTCAGGGCATTTGAATTTTTTTCTTGGAGTCACCTAAAACAAAGATATAATTATAAAATGTACACTTTTATTCTCTAATGTATTCTTCTTCTTCAGATGCAAATCCACTAATGGATGTTAGCGATCACATTTTCCATTAATTCTCTATTTCTTGCAATATGTATCAGAGATTATATGTCGTTAATCCTGTCCATTGCCTTATGTTTCGGAGCCAGGACATTTTCTTGCGTCCCATTCCTCTCTTGCCTTCAATTTTACCCTCGATTATAAGTTGGAGGAACTGGTATTTTTCATTTCGCATGATGTGACCTAGATACGCCGTTTTCCTTTTCTTGATGGTTTCGAAAAGTTGGCGTTCTTGGTTTATTCTTTTAAGGACATCTATATTTGTGATTTTCGCTGTCCATGGTATTTTTAGGATACGGCGATAAAGCCACATTTCGAAAGCTTCTAATCTGTTTATATCCCTCGTTTTGAGTGTCCAGCCCTCTACGCCATATAGCAGCACTGACCATACGTAGCACTTAGTAAACCTTAGTCTCAGTTGAAGATTGAACTCTGAACAAGTCAGTACCTTCTTGAATTTTACGAAAGTTTGTCGAGCTTGCTCAATGCGACATTTTACTTCCCTGTCCGATGCCCAGTCTTCAAAAAGCCACGATCCCAGGTATTTAAATTTACTCACTCTTTCTATGGATTTACTGTTCAGTGTTATGGTGGAGTTTTCAAGTGCATCCAAGTTTCTGGTGCATCTGTAAATAAATGGTCATAGAATATTCGAAACAGGTCAGTAGTCACATCACATGACCAATAATGCGAAATGGCAAGAAGAGTGAGAAAATGAACATAGGGCTGAATGGAGAAGAACACTCAAAGCGGACGTGAGAGACTGGGTAGGACACGGCCATAGACACTACTTCCTCACACAGTTCCTTACGGGGCACGGCTCGAGCCTACTTGGCAAGGATAGGGAAACAAGAAGACAATTGCGTTGACTGCGGGTTATCGACACGGCGGAACATTGCAAAAGGTTCACGAACGAAAGGGTTCACTATAAATATTAAATAGTTAGGCGGAAGAGGAGAAATGAATACAAAGAAATCCTGCGGGCAATAACTAGAATAATAAAAAGGAGAGAGATCCTAGAAAGGGAACGACAGCAGGCATAAACCCTAAAAAAGGGAAAAACAGAAGAGAAAGAAGCCGCGCACGCATGTCAGAATGGTCTAAATAAGACTAGCAGATAATAGAACAGGTAAATTCTATAAAGTATTTGGGAGTAAATATCAATAGTCAGTGTAATCCAAAAAAAGAAATCCTATCAAGAATCGAACAAGCAAGGAAAACATTCGCATAAAAAGATTTTTACAAGATCAGACCTTAGTCTGCAGCTTAGAATCCGAATGATCAGATGTTACGTTTTTTCTATCTTACTGTATGGCTGTGAAAGTTGGACAATGGACTCTGAAATAGAAAAAACAATAGATGCCTTTGAGATGTATATATACAGGCGAATTTTGAGAATTCCATGGGTACAAAGAGTCACTAATGTTGAGGTACTTCGTCGCATATGTAAACAAAAAGAATTACTAAGAATAATCAAAGAGAGGAAAATGCAATATTTGGGTCATGTGTTGAGAGGCGAAAGATATGAATTACTTCAAGTTATACTGGAAGGAAAAGTACAGGGCAAAAGATCACTACGAAGATGCCAGAAGTCGTGGCTGAAAGACCTGAGGAGATGGTTCGACCGCTAATCCGCAGAAATCTTTCGCGCAGCAGTTTCCAAAACCACAATTGCCATTTGGATCACCAACCTTCGAAAGGAGACGGCGCCATGATAAGAAGAATGTATCTTTAACGCACTTATTATGTAACCCCTAATAACCTTTGCATCAGGACAATATAGGATGAGAACTAACAAAGAGCTCGAAGAACTTTACCCAGGCGCCAACATCATAAAATAAATAAAGTCCAGAAGACTACAATGGGCAGGACACCTCAGAAGACAATCTGACGAACGAACAGTAAGACTGGTGTGGGAGGAAGTCCCAACTGGAAGGAGACCACGCGGACTCCCTCGTCTCCGGTGGCGAGATAATATAGCAGGAGACCTAAGCACTATTGGCGTGGAGAATTGGATGGAGGTTGCTCAAGACAGAAAACAGTGGAGGCATGTTGTCGAGTCGGCTAAAACCCACGAAGGGTTGTAACGCCACGGAGTAAGTAAGTAATAACCTTTTGGTTAATGCGATATTTTCTTTAATAAACAATATATATTTACCTTTATGGGTGGCTTATTCGTAATATTGGCCACTAAAAAGTTCATCGCAATATCCTCACAGTTCATGTGTTCATCAACCCAATCTTTTACTTCTACAGGCATATAATTTGTATATAAGAAACTCCAGTATTTATGTAAAAAAGCTGCCCCAGTGAGTACCATCGATATTTCATTAGTCCATTCGGATTCGTATTTCCACATTTGAGTTACGTTATCCCAAATATGAGTTCTTGAAGGAAAACCTACAAAAAAATATATAATATAATTCATAGAAAAAATAAAACAGTAGAAAACATAAACAACAATTAGACATTTTTAAGACGTGATTATTTTTTGTTTATGTGATATATGTTGGAAAAAACATGCACCTTCGCCCTTTCAGACTCTCGGGTCATAATTAAGCAGTTATTTCAGCTATCTCTATCTTTAAGAAATCTTGAATACTAATGTGAGAAACTTAGGTAGATCATTAGTAGGAGCCTTTATTTTAAAACTGATTCATAATCAAATTACATTCACCAACAGGAACATCATATGTCCGAGAATCAGACTGAACAACATATTACTACGGTTTGCGATATAGCGCCTGTTTCACTCAGGGTACTGAACACGACGTCAGTAATTTCAAACGTCTTGGTTGTGCTCAATGTGCTGGAAATGGCATTCGGAAAGTCGAAGTTGAAGCCAGTATCGGATGGGTAGCACTGGAATTCAGCGGGTCGTACTCCATTAGAGAAAGCTAGATTTTTAGCCTTTGGGCGGCGTATGCCGAGGGGCGGTAACCTAATATGTTTTGGTTTACCCTATTATTTGCGTCAATGTTTAAACTTGACACGTAGGGTCCAGGATTGGCGTCTGAATCAGCCTTTCGTCTATCGTCTTCAGCTAACACACCTACACAGGGAATTTCCTCATAGAGATTGTGCAGATGGTCATCGACGTTTTCGCCTGGAAGGGCGAGGGTGTCATAGTAGCACAGATGGGGGGAGGCTTCTATTTATTTTAGGAGACAAGATGATATTTCCTGACATCCACGTGACGCCTGACCTTCGTGCCACATAAAGAAATGGGTCGTTTTAGTCTGTAGGTTATGGACCCGTAAGTTATACGTCCATAGTTGCCTTAAATAGTATGCGAACTTGACACATTAGGAGTTGCCATAGTTTTTTTGCAAGTCGAAGATGGTTCCAACTTTGCTAGAATCCTTTAGGTCATGACACTCATCATTTGCTGTTCTTATGACTTCCACCTTACGCAAGTGCAAGTCTTTTTCTCTCTGAGCTAAAGCTTTTTCTCCTACCAAACCGTGATTTATTTTTATCTGAAATTTGTGACACGTGTCTGGACTTGGCCTTTTATACTAAATACCAAATAAAGTTTGTACATTATTTTCAAATTAACACTCCTGAGGAAGATACCTCCTATTCGGAGTCTTATTTCTAGTGTAGTAGCTTATGTACCCAGGGAATTTATTAATAAGCTCTTCTATGATTTCAATTGCGCTTTCAGAAATTTTGTTGGGGGATGATTTATTTCGTCTCTTATGCCTGTGGCCTTTCTAAGCCTATGGCATGCCACGCCTGAAGGGACTTTTTTTTTAACTTACGTTCAGATTTTAGGTTACGTATATCCATGTCCTTTAAAGCTTAAAAACACTGTAATTTTCAATAACGTAAAACACTACAGTTTACAATAAAGTATTACTATAACAACAAATTGATATTGCTTTATAGGAGCTATAATATTACTACCCATCCAAAATTATAAAAAACTCAACTACCAGTCCGACACAGTGAAACAGCCCTTTTCTTCCAAGCCCAACTCTTAGTTGGCTTGGAGGTTAAGTAACTTGCCGCTAGAACGCAGCACCTGTTAGACTTATCGATTAGATTTCTTTACCTCCAAATAGAATGAGAGATTTCTAGTTCGCGATACAGTTATCTCAATGTTTACAAAAATGTCACTTATACCCCTTTACTTCTAGGGTCCTCAATATGTGTTTTAGGACCACAGCCTACTACAAATTGTAGAAACAATTTTTTTTTCCTATAAAAAAATCTGGTCTGAAAGGGTTAATGTCTTTTATTATGTTTTACGCCATATGGACTAATTTACGTTTTATCAGTAAGTTTTTATTAAAATTTTTGTAAATAGTACGACAAAATCAATTGATATATTTTAGATATTGTTTTGAACCGCTTAGAGACTTTTGAAACACGGTTATATGGACGAACACTTAACAATACTATAGATGACTAAGCAGACAAATGAAGCAGTTCTCAACAGAGCAGAAGCTACGTATCAGCTGATTGATAGCGTCAAATCCAGGAAAATAGCACATCTTGGACATATATTGTGGAAAAAACAGTATACTATTCCTCGACTAAACTGTGATGTGTAAAATCGAAGGAAACAGGTGAATTGGTAGAAAACAAGTCTCTTAGTTGAAGAATGTCAGATAATGGAGCGGGATTTGGAGAGTCGAACAACTATTCTTGAAAATAGCCAAAGACCCTTGTTGTACCCTTTTCTCTATTTTTTTGGACTAATTTGACCGGACTAAATTGTAAGTTTTACGTGCAAGAAAAGATATAGAGGAAGGGAGAGCGCACTATAGACGTGCATTGTTTGTTATATTAGTAACAGTGTCATTCAAATATAATATAATAAAAAAATATACATAATATAAGATCATGTATATTAATTAACGATAATACATGCAAAATATTTGTTCTGGCATGCATACTAATTGATTGTTTTACTTACCCACTATTCGATCTGGAAATTCTCTCCAGACTTCATAAGCAAATTCAACTTCGTCGGATGTTAGCATAACAATATCATCATCTATATGTAAAACTGCCTCCGTTTCAATCTCTTTATATGGATAAAAGCGATTCGATAACTTATTCGCATGTGTTCTTATTACATTCACTGGTTTCTGAATTTTTGGAAATTCTGACACTACAAAAAGATAAAAAAAATCTAAAAAAATTACAAAACTGTAACATATACTAATGCACATATACAGGCTATCAACAAACCCCAATAATAAGACTTTAAATATTTCCCTATATATAATATGTCGAATTAAAGCAAACTATCGTACACAGCACTCCGAAGTATGACTTTTAATAGTATCGTCTTTTATTAAAAGCTGGCAACAGTATCAGCGAAGCAATGTCTATCTTGTGCAGCTCGAAACAGTGAATGTGAGTACAAATCAGCCCAATCTCTTATACAGGGTGTCCCATAATTAATTGGACATTAGTTAAATGAGTGATAGTTGACATCAAAATACAGCGTTTGAGCTCAAATTGTTTAGGCAAAATGTTGCTAGTTTTCGTTCTACAGGGTAATTCATTAATATTTTTTTATATTATTTTTAGGGATATATTCAAAAATTATTTAACCGATTTAAGTGAAATTTGGTATCTTGCTATTAGTAAGTATGCTTAATATGAAAATGATATTAGTTTTGCCATTGACACTCGGTGGCGCCATCTACTATAACATTTGTTTATTAATGTGGCCATCATTTTTTTGTCCGCCCTGTATAAACATTCTAGGAAAAAAACACGAAATAACATTCAATTCTACACAAAAAAGGTATTATTAGGGTATCCACTGCCCGACGGAGAGTTTATCTTAGACACAGATGCAAGAAATGTGGGAATTGGAGGAGTGCTATGTCAGATTCAAGGACAAGAACGAGTCCTTGAAAATTTTAGTAAAGTTCTTTCAAAATCTGAGCGGTAGAACAGTTTAATCAGTACCTTTATGAAAGGAAGTTTTTGAATCCAAACCGACCATGCCTCCCTTAAGTGTTTAATGCAGTTTAAGAACACAGAGGGTCAACTAGCCAGATGGATTGAACGACTCCAAGAATACGATTTCAATCGATTGAGCATTGAGCTGAAGTTAGTCACAGAAACTCCTTTAGCCTTTCTAGAAGGCATGAACATCACAGTGCTCCCACTGCAACGAAACTGAATTCAAGAAAGCAGCAGTGCTAAGAACAACGATGGTCAACGATGAGTGGACGCCTACTAAGATCAGAGAAGAACAAGAGGAAGAACCAATTTTACAGAAAATTCGAAAGAAAGAAAGAAAAAAAAGAGAAGAGAAGACAGTTGATGATTCCAAAGAGCAGAATAGCCGAAGTACTTCCGCAGTTACACGACAGTCCATCAGAGCGTTTCGGTGTAAAGAAAACCCTTCAGAGAATTCGGGAACGGTTTTATTGGATGAATAGTTGTAAAAGGACTGGTGTGAGAAATATACTACCTGTGCTACGAGTAACGGACCTTATCGAAAAAGAAAGGATCCTATGAGACAATACAATGTTGGAAGTACGTTTGAAAGAATAGCTTTGGATATTGCTAGGCCATTTCCAGAAAGTGAAAATGGAAACAAGTACATGTTGGTTGTAATGGATTACTTCACGAAGTGCGTCAAGATCTCCGCAATTCCAGACTAGAATACCGCCACGGTTGCAGATGTGTTAATCAAAGAGTATATCAGCCGATTTGGAGTGCATTTGGAGATCGATAGTGACCAAGGAAGGAACTTCGAAAGCGATCTATTCCAGGGAATCTGTGATAGACTAGGCATGAAGAAAACAAGAAGTACAGCCTATCACCCACAATCGGATGGAATGGTAGAGCAGATGAATAAGACAGTTGGCAAGTATTTGACAAAAATTGTGTCAAATCATCAGCGATACTGGGACAAATACCTTCCGTTCTTCGCAATGGCCTACAGATCCTCTGTTAATGAATCAACGAGCCAAACACCAGCAAAACTCCTATTCGGACGCGAGATGCGACTACCTTGTGATCTAGAGTTTGGATGTCGACCTGGAGAGGATGTAGCTGGTGAATATTACGTGAACGAGTTGCGAAGAAGAGTAGACGATATACACGAGTTGGTCCGTTCCCATTTTTAAATCGCTAGCGACCGAATGAAGAATCGGTACGATACCCAAGCCAAAAAGAATGTTTTAAAAAGAACGACAAAGTTTCGCTCTATAATCCACAGAAGCGAAGGGGTTGTTCTTTTAAGTTGCAGCAGTTCTGGGAAGGTCCAAACCTCATTATGGAGGAGATAACGATGTTATCTATTGAATAAGCAAGATTCCGAGGGGAAAGCCGATAATAGTACACCATAACCGGCTGGCGTCATTCGAAGGAGACCACGACGTAGATGAAGAAGTGAAAGTAGGTCCAAGAAGTATCTGAACTCACGTTTGAGGATTCATGGGGACCTACGGATGTACTGGTAAAGCGAGACATGGTGTTACCACTGAAGAAAAGCAAAATTAACTCGCACTTCCAGACGACAACCCACTGGCCCATACCATCTCAGCTAGTATTAAAGATGCACCAGGGTTGGCATCCGTCTTTCGAAGAAGGTTTGGTAGAGTTGCTGAACTTCAATGCCAACTGCCAGCTCCCGGAAAAGCTTTGAAACTTCAAGATGCATCACGTTACCTTTTCTACTTTTCTATTTGTATCTTTAAAGACACAGAAATCCAGGTAGTCCTAGTCTGTTGCAATCCGCATAATTACTGGTGCGGAGAGAAAACCGTCCCTTGTCACTTTTAGACAACTGGGGTTGTACACGAGGGTCCAGTTGCTACAACTAGATACCAGCATCCAAGAGGAACCATCTGCTAAGGAGGGAGCAATATATAATACTATAACGGTTAAAACTACTAGTCTACAACTACTGTGTTCTGTTTCAGATATGCCTCCCCTGTCCGACCTTGTCTTCCGAAATCCATTAAAACATATCAGAGTTTCAGTCATGATAAATGAACTAGGGAACAATAATAAGGTGGTTTCCCGTTGCCTTTTCCATTGCAGTACAACAACCATTCAAACTCCTCCAGTCATGCTTGTGATAGCCCAGGGCCTTCGTGCTTTGAGCTGGTACTGATAATTAAAGGACGAGACATGATTTCTCTCAGTAAGAATTGAAAGCAAGGCATGGCTCGCGTGGGAAGTTTGCTTGCCTGAATTGGACCTATTCTCTAATGGGATCGTAGAAAAGTATTTACCCGCCACCATAAAGTAGAATAGAGTAGAAACAGAGCTAGTATAAAAGGAGCTTATAATGTATAGTAAATGTATTAATACTAAAAGATAAACTGTATTCACTCGTTTTCTCAGGTTCTGTAGTACATCCAATGTTATTTAACTTATATTCTGCAAGTATTTTGTAAATCTCTTAGACTAAACATAAAATGTTTATAATAAGCAGACGATATCTCTAAATATTTCACCCAAAAAACTAACTTATGAAAACTGTGTAATACTAGGACAAATACTAAAGGTTTTTAAGCAGTAGACACACAAAAATGTGACAATATGTCCGAAAAAATCTAATATTACGTTTTTTACCAGGCAAGGGTTGCGCGCACCAGGGAACATAACCCTAAGTGGACGTACTATATGAGTGGTGTATCAATACAAGCAGTTAGGGATTATTCTAGAAACAAAACTTCTGTGGTTCAAACATATTCAATATATTAAGGATAAATGTGAAAAAATCATGAATATATACATGAATATATATCGTATATACTTATTGTTCTAAAATGCTTACATACGATCAACCATCGACTATGGATGTTAGCTATATGGATCGGCAAGTAATACTAACTTAAATATATTAAATCTTAAATAAAGTCCAGAATTTGTTTGAGCGCAGTATTTCTAAATTTATTCCTATTCGAATTGAGTCGATCTCAATTCAACAAATTGAGTTTTTAAGCTCAGTAGCTTTATTTTAATATTTATAAAGGAGCGCAGTAGCACAGCTTTATTTTAATATTTATAAAGGATGGGTAATATTTTTCAATATTACTTACGTGGAGGGGGGCTTTTCCTTTGGTTATTCCATACAACTATGATCTTCATTAAACTAGGAACTTTTGATAATCTCTCTATTAGCGTAAAAAGACTTTCTACTCTATCGTACGTTAAAATTACAGCCGAAAATCCATGAGACTTCGGTGACGTCATTGGAAAGAATAAAGGATTGTTGTTAATCTGAAAAAATAAGTATTAAGCAATATAGTTTTCGAATATTGATTTAAAATTTTTACTCAAAATAATATCTTGTCATAAAACAAAATGGTATATTTTTATTAACATACAAAATAAAAGTATATATGTAATTTTGTGCTGTTGTTTTTTTTTCTTCAGGTCTTTTTCATTTTCGTCTACTGTCAAGTGACTGCAATCTTCCTTTTTATAGTAGTTGGTCCAATATAATCTGATCGAAGTCTGAATCATAATTACAAGTAGTGTAGAACGCACAAAATTTTTATTCAAATCGTCACTTATTGTTAGATCATGGAGGGATGAAGTGGACGAGGCCATGGAAAGACGAGACCTTAGAGATGGAGAATGGCAGAACAGAAAGGACTGGAGACGTTGGCTAAAAGAAGGAAGGCTACGACAGCTGTAAAATTGCTTATATAGATAGATAGTCACTTATTTAAATAATCATAACGTATGATTCTCGCAAATTTGGAGCCTAAATATAGAACATATATGTGTACGTAACCTTTAACGCCCGGTCGCAGTGCAGTGTAAGCGTTCCTCGTCCCATAAACTCATCCCCCCAGGGGACAGTCTCTCTCGTCCTCTTTCTTCCGCAGAATCGCCCTGATGAACCTGTGGATGTTGTTTCATCGTCCCGAGTCCGAGAGCATGATGTTCACAAGACTGTTGATGTTACTGTCCTTGTTCCGAGCCGTGACCAGCACAGCGAGGTCATTCGCGAATGTAAAAGGGGTACACCCCTCACCGTATTCACGGCGCATGATTCCGTCATATGCCAGATTCCACAGAATCGGACCAAGGACGGACCCCTGGTGACACCGACCGTAACGTCGACCACGACTGGACTCTCGACCAAGAGCTTTCGCTCCGACTCTCGACCATGAGCTTTCGCTCCGACAGGTAGTTCTCGACGATGTTCCTCAGATATTTTGGACAGTTCCGTTCACTCAAGGAGCTCATCACGTGGGACCACTTTATACTGTTGAAGGCGTTTCTGATGTCGAAGAGAAGCAAAGCAGCCCACTTGCAAGCCCACTCCACCGTGCTCCAATGCTCCAGATCATCCCTTTCCTCCCTATAGCACTCTGATGGGCGATAGGAGCACAACTATTAGTCAAATGCTCTTCATGTGGGAGTCCTGGGTAACAGAACTCCAACATGGTTTCATAACCGTATACAATTCAGGACAGCGCATTGTCGCTATAATAATGTTATCATAATGTGGCTTATCCTCGAACTAAAATCGCTTACATGGGCCCCAAGCCTCAGAGCTAGGCTCAGTTCGGAGGCTTAATGCTCAAGTGGTTGGGCCCTATGTGCCCGGGTTCTTGTTAATTTCTTTTTGGTGGCTTGCGCAGGTTTTTATTAATTTTTTTAGTGGCCGATTTTTGTGTGTTTTTTGGATTTTTTTTGGTAGGGGTACCTGAAATAAATATCAAATAAGAATATCGTCGGCGAGAAATCTTTATACGATCCGGTCATGTCGACAACACTGTCAGCACTGCCCTGGCTGGTGCTGGGCGGGTGCGAGTTGCGCCGTTTATTTTTTCAGAAGAATAAACTTATGTGGCTGGTGGAATCATGTCCCGTTCACGGTACGGCACGGGTGTGTGTGGAATCGATCTTTGGTGTATAATAGTTTTAAGGTTGTCACAATATTTACAAGGGGCTTAAACAAGGATGTTGTCTATCTCCGAGCTTATTTAAAATATATATTCAATTATCGCTAGAGCAGTGGAAGAAACAAGTATCCGGAATGGGAATAGACATAGGCGGTGGTAAATGTCTAACAACTTTATTTTTTCGCAGATGATCAGTAGTCGTAGTGAATGATGAGGAAGACATGGACTACGTGTTTAGAAAACTAAAGAAAGAATATGAAAAATGGGCCCTCAATATGAATATGTCAAAGACAGAGTATCTTAAAATAGGAGATGATGAAGAAGATTCAGAGTTAGAAATTAGAAACACAAAAACATGCAATGAATATAAATATCTCGGATCTATAATATCTAAAGAAGGCACTACCAAAAGAGACATCGAAATCAGAACGCAGCAAGGAAAAAAAGCGGTTATTTATTTATATATTTAAAGTTTAACATTCTAAACTCTCTACTATGATCTAAAGATATTAGACAAGAGACGAAATTGACAATCTATCGAACCTTGGTAGAGCCTATTATGACTTATGGGCAGAAGTTTGGCAGATCACGAAAAAAGATAGAAAAAGAATAGAAGTAGTAGAAATGGATTTTCTAAGGAGAGCATGTGAGTGTATCCAAAAAAGATCATATCAGGAATGAAGATATTAGAAGGAGGACAAATACTGTATATTCCAGTGTAGACAGAATTGAAACGAGACAACTAGTGTGGTATGGTCACGTAAAACGAATGAATGAAGATAGATGGCCAAAGAAAGCTTTAAATTACATACCACAACAAAGAAGAAGAAGGGGAGGCCGTCAGTTGCCTGGGAAGAAAATGTACAACACATAATGAGAGATAGAGCCATCAAAGAAGACGAATGGATGGACAGAAAACGATGGCGGTCGAAATGCGAGAGGCGGCAGAGGCTGTAGGAACCTCGCTTATATATATATATATATATATATATATATATATATATATAATATATATATATATATATATATATATATATGTATATATATATAATATATTATAGATATATATATATATATATATATATATATACCAATATATTACACGAGTGTTATACTTTAGCATCTTTATCTCCAGACGAAACTTTTCAGACCTTTCTTAAAGTTAGTATTTATTTTGAAAACTTTTTACTATTTGAAACAAAAAATTAAATTTCATTCAATTTCTAACAGAATATCTTAACATAGGAATTATTAATAATTTAGTGAATCATTATCCCCGGACCCATATCATGGAACCATAAGTTACAAAAAATAATTTTTTCTTAAATTTTACTTTAAATGGTGGCTCAGATTTTGAGTTAAATCTTATTATTCCAGCTTGTTATAGATACATACATTGTCAAATTTAGAAATGGTTGTCTTTACTAGTTTTGTGTTACCAGAAGTATTGATTTTTTAAAATAAATGTATTAGAATCATTTCTGAAAAGTTGATACTTACTTCATCAGGTTTTAGATTAAGTTCATCGTATGTCTTGCCAAGATGAGGATATACCCTATCTTGTAAAATATCGAGCGTTGTCATAACAATGTTCTTCATACTCGAGAAATATTTTTGATAAATATAAAGCAGATTTTGTTGCATTTGCCTTATTCTCTTGTCTGAAATATTATTCAAGACATCCATTAAAGTACTAAGGTGGCTTTCCATTATAAATACGGAAAACCTCTTCCAGTCGATGATATTCCGAAAAGGCATCACGTGACCGTCGGCAACTATCACAGGTATACAATTGGCAGCCATCGCTTCCAATAGAACGAATTGTCCCATTCTTTCGCCTCGAAAAACAAGACAGAATATGGATTCTTTTAATACTTGAGGATATTCGAAAGTTTTTCCGGTTTCGATGTCACATCTTTGAGTGTATCTATGTCGGTGGCAAGCGTCGAGTATTAATAGGTAATCGTGATGATGGTAACGAAGTTTTTGAAGCTCCGTAAGGAAATATGGATCTACGTTGAGCTGCGATGAAGTGACTAGCCACGATCTGAAACAAAACGAATTACTCAGTATTTTATGTATACAAAATTAATCGCAGCGTAACTTAAGACTATTTCTTAATTGAAGACAGAAATGGATAAAGGTCATATGTCACTTTTTTGAGAAAATGGTTTTATTGGTTTTTTGTTCTTCTAATGTGCTGTTTAACATTTTGAAATGTTAAAATTACCTATTTTTAGCTAATCAAAAAAAGGAAGATATTAAAGTAATATGTCACACTAGATTTTCGAATTCTAGTGGATAAAGTTATTACGTCCAAAATCCCGGACATATTACCTTTATCCACTCAAATGTTTAGTAGCTCAGCAGTTGGGTTTCTGACATTTAACTTTATAGGTTATGTTATGAAAATCAGTGTAACTGTGTAATTAATCTGTGCAAACATTTTTACAGTTTTTAAGTCAAAAAGCTACGAAAAAATTATGGAGAGTAGAGGAAAAATAATTTACAGACTATATCTTCAACAGAAAGAAGAAAATACTGATAAACTAGGTAATATTCTTCTTCTTCTTCTACTTTTTGTAGATCTTTCGATCTGTTTAATTCTGAAGCTGCCTCTGGTTAATTTCTTGGGAGGTAGATTGCCAACTATCCCTCCATCTTTTAGGTGGTCTTCCGGGGGGTCTTGAACCGGGCGGATTGTTTTCTAGGGCAATTTTTGGGAGTCTATTCTCATCCATTCGTCTTACATGGTTGTACCACATCCTCTTGCGCTGCCTTCCCCATCTTACAATATCTTGAATTTTGCACTGCTCTCTAATGTTTGTATTTCTCGCTCTGTCTCTTCTTGTTTTCCCCATTATTGTTATTAGGGTTTTCATTTCGGCAACCCTTAGCATCTGTTTCGTTTTGTTAGTATCTTCGCGCACTTCTATGCCATATGTCATGATCGGTCGTATGCAAGTCTTAGATTCTAATTTTACTATCTGTGCGCATATACGGATTTGACCAGACTATCTCCCGCAGACATCCTGACAGTGCAGATGCTTTGTTGATCTGACTCCTCAGGTCCTTTACTGGGTCGTGGGTGCTTGATATATCTATGCCCAGATATCTGAATTGCATCACCTGTTCTATGGGGTTGTCCTCAACCACTAACTTACATCTGAGCGGATCTTTTGCTATTGTCATACATTTAGTTTTGTTGGTAGAGATGTTCATATTTAGTAGTCGGCTTGTTTGAAAGAACTGAAAGAGCTGCCTTTGGAGATCATCTTCTGACTCGGCAATAATTGCTGCATCGTCTGCGTAACACACCATACCAATTATTTTGTTGCCCATTCTATATCCGAGATTAAGAGAGGTTACTTTGTTGATAATTTTGCCCATGAGAAGATTAAACAAGAAGGGGCTTAAACTGTCGCCTTGTCTAATTCCTCCCGGTGTTGGAATATTTTCAGTGAATTCGTCTCCTGCTCTAACTTTGGTTACGTTGTTGTTATTTAGTTTATGGAGTATCTTTGTTATACTGGTCGGTCTTTCATTTTCTATTAATATATTTAGAATGTCTCCCAGGCGAACTCTGTCAAATGCCTTCGTCAAATCAATGAAGCAAATATACGCTGGCATGCCTTACTCTATAGCTTTTTCTTTTATTTGTTTTATTATAAATACTGCGTCTGTTATAGACCGCCCTTCTGTAAAACCTTGTTGATCTTCAGCATTAGTGATTTGCTTTTCCAATTTGTCCTTGAGAATACCCGTGAAAAGTTTCATTGTTGTATTTAAGAGGGTTATTCCTCTATAGTTTTGTGGGCAGGTTTTTTGTCCTTTTTTAAATATGGGGATTGTGATACTATTATGCCATTCCTCTGGTGTTTCTGTTTTGTTTAATATTTTGTTAAATAGTTGTGCCAGTTTACTTGCAAGTTCCGGGCCTCCATATTTTAAAAGTTCATTGGGTATACCATTCGTTCCCGGTGATTTTCTGTTTTTTAGCTTTTTGATCTTTGCTCTACTTCTTCGTCATTGATTGTAGCACTCACATCTGTTTCGCCTTCGTTTATATTCAGCGTTTCTTCAGCATCATATAGCTCTTTAAAATGCTGTTGCCATGTCTCTATAGGTACTCCTTTGGTCTGCACGAACTCGTTAACTGGTTTTTTCCTGTTGCGGAGCATTTTCCATACTTTCTTTTGGGCACCATATAGGTCGTAGTCCATGTCGCAAGTGAATTTGGCCCAATGTTCTCTTTTGATTGATTTTATTCTGGCGTTTACTTCGTTTCTTATTTGGACATATTCTGCATGAGCTTCTTCCGATTGCGTGCTTTTATATCTCAGCTAGCATTTGCGTTTTAATTCAGAGAGTTCTTTTACCTCTTGGCAAAACCACGGTTTGGTGTGGTTTGTCGCTCTCGTGTTAATTTTCCGCTTTCCAATCGCTTCTTCTGCTGCTTCGTTGATGCATTTCTTAATTTTTTGCCAACTCTAACATCTTTAAGTCGATCTCTTTTTAGTTTGCTGGTAATCCTGTTCTCATAAAGCAGTTTTGTACTCTCTGTTGCTAGCGACTCTATATTATGTTTTTCGATGAACATTGGGGGTTTTCTGTTTCGTTGCGGACGATAGGTAATATTACATTATATAAAGGTTCATATAAGTATATTTAATACTTTTTTATGCAAAGGATCTACCAGTTAATGCTTTTTACTGCAATTTTTATCACATACTTATAATATTGTTGGTTTTAGGTGTATTTCCTCCTAGATGTTCGTCTGATTTAAATACTCAGTAAAGTTGACAAGCTAATCAATAAACAGTATTATACAGACATTCAGATAATATCGAGTTCTAAATGATGCTAAACGAAACATCTTTTCTGAAAAACTTTCTAACAAAAAATATGTTAAATGAAGAAAATGAACAAAATATGCAGAATATAGACAACCAAGCAGAAGTGAATGCCGAAAATAAGACAGAAGAATTTCAAATAAGGACCAACATTGAAGACAGTCAAAGCACATGTTACCGCAGAAGGACAAGGACCTGCTTTTTCCAAACCTCAAAAGACGGCGAAAAATTTTTTTGAGCTTAAAGAGAAGAAAGCTCGTAAAAGGGAACGCAACCCTGTTGAATGGAAGAAGAAAAAGCAGCAATTAAAAAAGAAAAAGGGTTGGAATATGTTTCTCAAAATGGAAAAATTATACCAGCAAAAAAATTGAGGAGGATTTAGTATTATGTAAATATTTATTATGCAACATGCAGATTAAAATGTGGAACCAAATTTTTATTCCAGATCAATATCGTAAGATTGCCACGTCGGCAAGCACAAATATACTATTTGTGTAAATATGGAGAATTTTTTCTACGACTTTGAATGATTCTAATGAACCTCTATTTATCTAAAAAGCAAACAAGTAGTTCAAATGAAAAAGTTAATTTTCGTAATAGTATGGATAAGAGTGGACGAATTTGGTTTTTATCTCTAACATGCCTTAATGACTACATACCATTCCAGCAAGTATATTTAAGAAAAAAAGAACTGAATATAGAACAATAAGATTGAAAAAGAAAACTTAACTCTTTTATCCACTTACCTAACATTTTAAATTATTTTTACTATGTGGATTAAGCCAATATGTCCGAAAAATTTGAAATATTTGGCTTAAGGTAACTTTTTTTAAATTCAAAGTGTAAAAAAGTACCTCAGATACTTGTTTAAAAAAGTGTAGCAATGTAAATTGATAAAATAAATAATTAACTTGGAACAAAAGATACTAAAATGCTCATTACTCAAAAACATTATTAACTGCTAAACCCAGAGGAAAATACCAAACCAATACTATCACAAATCGGACCGGAGCAAACCAATAATCAGGCCGAAATAAACAAACCTTCAGATCAGGAAATAGAGGAGGTAATAAAGCAGCTGAGCAGCTAATAACAAGAGTCTAGCAGAAAACGGTATGACAGGACAAGTATTCAAATAAGATGGCCAGCTATTACTCAAAGGAATAACCAACTTAATAAAATGAATTTGGAAAAATGAGAAATTACCAAAAGGCTGGAAAAATGCATCCTATGTCCGATCCACAAAAAGGGAAATAAAAGCCTATAACAAAATTATAGAGGAATTGCTTTATTACATGTAGATATAAGATATTGGCTATATATAAAGCAGCAGGCATGAACGGAATAACAAAACAATTATTAAAATATTGCGGAACAATAATGGCAGATCCATTAGCACAGTTCATCAAAAAATTATTAAAATACAACAAAATACCCAAAGAATGGAAAATAAGCGTTCTAATTCTGATGTTTAAAAAGGAGACAAAAAACAGCCGGCACCACGCTGAAATAAAGACAAAACTTTTAAACATATTAATAAACGAGAGAATATCACTCGAGAATGAACAAGGCTTTCGAAACGGAACATCATGTATGGACGCAGTATAATATAAATCAATTCTTTCAACAGACTCGAACCATCATTATATTATATGATTTTAACATTAACTTACCTTTCGTATAATGTATCTTTAACTGCTGCTGATTTTCCCATAAGACTGAACACAGGTAATGAAATGTCAAATCTTTCACGAAATGAGTAAGTGTCGAATCCGGCGCCAGCTATAATCGCCTTACCGACGTCCAGTTCTACCACTGTTGAAAAATCTGGAGTACTTCCAGCAACCATGTTAAAGATAAGGTGGTTTTCGCCCCCTCTCCAACTGAAACAAAAAAATAACACTTAGAAATTAATAGTCTTGATATTCTTAATATTCTATATTGCAAATACTCCATGTCGGAACAGATCTTGTTTTAATAATATCTTCCTCGACCACAATTTTTTTAACCACAAGTTTTTAAAAAAATATGTACGATTGAACGAAATAAATTCGGAACATACGAAATATTATGTATTTCGCCTCAATTCTGCTGTAGGTGGCTGGCCAACAAAAGGTTGTCAAATAATTATATTATAAAAATCCAATACTTCAGCTGGCTGCTGGATTCTGAAATCATAAAAAATTGAAAGCTACACATAAATCTACGATTTTATTATGCTGTCAAACCACTTATAGTCCAGGAAATGAAGCATTTGACCTCGTCCTGCGTGGATTGATTTGAAATTTTAACAAAAGGTAGGTAATAGCCTAAGGATCAAAATTTATATCGAACCAAAGTGCGCCAAAGCCTTGGGGGTGGTTGCCACCACCCACAAGGCTTCTTGCCTTGTGATCCCCAGTGATTCTAAACAAAAAATGTTCTATACATTTTTTTTTGTAAAACTGATATTTTCAAGTTATTCGCGATTGAAAGTAACAACTTTTAGATGAAAAAATCGACGTTTTTAATCGATTTTTCGCGAATAACTCGAATATGGTGCATTTTATCAAAAAAATTGTAGAAAACAAATTTGTAGCTTTTAAAAAGACAAATACAATTCCATTTTTTAAAATGTTTTTGCGATATAATAGGAACCGAAATACGGCCTATCAATGTTCAGCGGTTTTCTTCAAATGCCAAATTTGAAAGATTCAAAGTAAAATATCGGGAAAATGATGCATTTTTGGAAGAAAACTCACAGAACCTTTTTTATAGAGCATAAATAGACCTATCATAAAAAAAGATCGCTAGTTCAAAAATTGAGTGAGTTATGATGAAAATAAGGTCAATACCTCATTTTTTTACGAAAAAATCGATGAAGACAACCCCCTAACCAACCCCATAATTAAAATAGATCTTCACCCTTCTGCAATTCTCTTTGTACATGTATTGTTGTTAATACGCCCAAGAAGTTTGACCCATTTAAAATGCTTAGTTTTAGAGAAAGTACAGCTTAAAGCGAGAAACGATTTACAATTTCATATTTTTTACCCTTCTTTTTTTAAATATCCCCAAAAATACTGAATATATGAAAAAAATAAAAATGTACTAAATTGTAGCTTTTTTTATGACTGAAATTTTCCTTTATTTACATTTGTTGTATAATGAATATTAGGCGAGATATAGCCGTTTAAAGCATCGATTTACGATCAAGCACCATCTTTTTCGAACCCTTTAAACTCACCCCATTTAAAAACCAAGGGTTCCAAAAAGATTTAATTTACAGATCCGTGTAGCTCTTAAAAACCTCTACAAAATCGTTTTTGAAGAAACACTCTATCGTTAAAAATGAAGGAAATACATTAAAAAAACCAATTAATTTTTTTCTGGAAAATTCCATTAGTATAGTACATTTTGGAGCATAGTAATCTACAAAACCGGTATATTAGGTAGTGAGGCAATATACATTCGAAATTGTAAGCGTTCTTATTTTGAAATCCCATACAACAGAATAAAACATCTGCTCATATGTCTATGGCTTGGCAATGAAAATATCAGTGCAACAGATTGGGGATGGTATTCCAAAGATGGTTTGTTATTACCCGTACGCATGAACAAACAAGCTGCACCCGATGAACATTTGAAAAATATTTTTTTGCCAATGCAAAAAAGGATGCGGCGTTTCATGTGGGTGCAGAAAAGTTGGTTTATAGTGTAACTCTACTTGTTCTGGGTGCTCAGGTGAAGGGTGCAATAATAGTCCACCAATAATTGAAGAAGATGAGGATGACATAGATCACGATGAGGATGTAATTGATGACGAATAAAATTAAAATTATAATTGTTTTACCTATAAATGTAAATATTTTCAACTATTTATGTAACTGTATAAGAATATATGGTGCCTTTTTATGTTGATAAATTTTTTTGTATTTAATTCTACTTTTTTCAATTTATATCTAATAAATTAGTTTATAAAAACTGCAATGTTGTAAAGGGTAATTTTCAAAAGTTAAAAAGTTGCAAAATTTTGGCAAAAAATTGTTTTCACCTATAGCACTCATAACAATTGATTTTTAAGGGATGAAAATGTATGAAATTGTATTTTAAAGTACAGAAAAATCACTATTTAACTAATCCAAACCAAATTTCACTCATCTTAAGATTTGTAATGTTATTTTACAATTTTTGAAAATTAGGAGTAGTTTTCACCCCTAAGAACAATCAGGGTTCATCGGCATGACATAAACTATAAAGCAGAGGTGAGTTGAGCTTAATTCCAAATTTTTATGCAAATCGTTCCAGGGTGAAATAATTTTCTTCGCATTACTATTTTTTTTACATTAATCTCTAACAAGGGTCGCTTTTTAAGGGTTGAAATATGATGGAACTTTATGCAAAAGCACAAAACTATCATTATTTAATTAATTCAAACCAAATTTTACCCATATTCAGGTTTAATATGTTATTTTATAATTTTTGACAATTAGGGGTAGTTTTCACCCTAAAACCCTTCAGCGCACTTCGGTTAGATAAAGATTTTGATCCTTTGGCTATCACCTACCTTCTGTTAAAATTTCAACTCAATCCATGCAAGACAAAAAAATTGCGAGGTTTTAACTTTTTTTGAGCTTCATTTCCTGAACTATTATCGCTTCCTTAGACAATGCCTTCTTTGAGCGGTGTTGCCAACCTAATTGTTGAGGTGTTAACCAAAAAATATTTACAAGACAGAAAGGAAATAACTACAAACCATTAAGTTTATTTTTGTTATTAGTCTGTTGTAGTAGATTGGTAAATACAATGAAAAAAATAGGCAAATATCCGATTTATTTAAAGATACGAAGAAGATATAACTCTCAAAAAGATCCGCAAATCGGATTATTACACGGCGATTGGCAACATTGTTACGCAAACAACATTGTTGCGAGACAGATAGTTGAACGATATTTATACAATGTCTATACCCAGGAATGGATTTATTTTTGTTTAAGTTTTATATTGGTTCACTATTTCAAATGCAGTTCAAACAGACATATATTAAATTGTATGATCCGTTTTAAATTCGTTCAATCTTTATGTAATCCTGTGTATATGCTATCCATGTAAAATAAAATGAAACAGTTTTACGTAATATAGGTACTCTAAAATTCGACCGATTATGCATCGAAATGTGTATGTATATCATAGTCGTATTTTGAACTTATCCAGTCATCAAAGATTTGACCTCTAAAAATCATACAAACAAGCCAAATATTGTCGAGTAAGTCAATTTTGGGACCTTAAAAAATGCAAAGAAGTTTACCACCCTTTAAACCCGTCTAAAATGTTTATTAGTACATTTTGTGTAGAATGAACCGTTCTCTCAGAAGCAATGCGTAAAGCGACCGGCGATTTTGAATGTGTGTTACGCGCGCGAAATCAATGATAATTAAAATTTGTCTTAAGTCGACGGTAAAAATTCGATATCTTTTGAATAGTCTTTATAGACAAAAATAAAATGCGTTTTAAAGGTGAAGAGATCGCATAATTTGTTATAAACATTTTAATTGTTTAAATAATTGTATCTCTCAAACTATTAGAGATATTTGCGCCGTGCGCTTCAGAGCGCGTTATTAAAAGTTCCATATCTTGAAAAAAATTAACAAAGAAATATTTACAAAAGCTTAAAATATTGTTTTTGAGTTGTTTTATAACTTCCATTAGCTATATTTTTAAAGTTAATAGTTTAATTTTGTTAAAAACAAATTAATTCGCAGCTTTTTAGTGAGTTTTTTAATGTTCTCCAATTCTAACAATCGGATCAAAGTTTACCAAACGCCATTTTGTCCAATTTTTCAAAAAGAACAATTTTTATTTTGGTAAAATTAAAAATCTCTAATAGCTTAGGAGATACAATCGTCTAAACAATTGAATTGATAATAACAAATTATCTGACAGTTTTTCAGCCTGGCACCCTCGAAAAATCAAATCTACGCACCAAAAAACATAAAAAACGTCAAGGTACCGAAGGGGCATACTCAACCCCTCCCTGGCTTCTATTTTTGAGACAACATCTGTATCTTTGACGGCCTAGATGATGATTGATAGTATCAAAGTACAACAAGATAATAAAGTGCATATTTTTTAGTTTGCGGCTTTGTAACCACATATTTACATTCAGTCGTCGATATTTATTTGTATTAGTCATAATATTGATGTGTGAATATATTTACATATACCAGTTATTCACCTTCGCAAAACAAAAGAAAATTTGCTTGTTGTACTTGATATTTTAGTATTTTAATATTTTTTACTGAAGTAATTTAATTTTTAGTCACGTGTACTTTAATCGGCTCCAATGTTTACAAAAATACTATCATTGTTATGGAATATTGTTTTTCTTTAATGACATAATAATGTACCGTTTTTAAATAAAACGAGCGGTTCGAATTTATATAAATATATTTATTTATAACTTTACAGTTCGATACTATCTTATCAACTAAACTTAAATCCTAATTTCGTTACATATATATACCAAAGTATTATGTTCGAGAATATTCGAGAATAGTCCCACCTCTAATTCGTTATTTGATGGTGGAATTTTACAGCGCTCGAAATATAGACGAAACTCTCGGTGCTTCGAGATGCGACCGTTAGGTAATCCACGCTAAATGCATGTTCGTAACACTGCTCCCCTCTTAGATCTGAGCGTCCCGATCAGGAACTCTATCTATAGGCCCAGGATGGCGGAATCTACAGGACTCTCCAGCTCTGCATGAACCCCTCAGAAAGAAATAACAGTCTACTGTCTTTGAAGGACACGATCTCTTCGGATTAATGCAACACACAGTAATTCTTACAGCGGTTTCTCGGAAGATCACTTCAAGCATGCTTCTGATAATCTTCCAATCCAGAT